ACCAATATGGGATTACTTCCGGCGAAAGAGGACCCGGCGTCGGTTACGGGCGACCGAGAGAGTAATGGAACTAAGACCCCGGCCGAGGACCGGAATTCGGTGGTTTTTTTCTTTTGGTCCTCCTCTCGCAGGTCTTCCTCCTTACGATCCACGTCTCCTTACCTCTTTTTCTCTTCTTCCGGGACCTTCCAACGTCTGCTAAAGACAGGAATAATTAAAACACAAACGAAGTTATCTCCTCTCGTACCGCGCGTAACGGAGGGGGGAAAAAGGGGTCTTTTTTGGCTTCAGAGCGGCTAAGTGGTCCCGCCATTTACGATTTTTATCCGACCTATCGATTACTTCTTCTTTAATTCACTTTACAGTCGACTTTTTAGATAATTTGGAATCTGGCTCTTCGGCCGCAGATGTTTTCGACTTCCTTCCTTCCTTCCTTTTTTCCATCGACCCGGTCGGTTCCGAAGGAAACGAAAGGTCCTCTAACGGACCTCCCCCGTTTACCTCTCACGCGCATCTTTCCTTAAAACCCCCTTCCCCCCAGGCGAAGCCGAAAATAGTAGACTGTTTGGCCTTCCCTAAACGTCAACACTTAAAAACATCTCTCTACCTGTAAAGAGCCGTTTCTCGTTAGCTGGCGATAGCGATTTTTCCACAATCGCGTCGCGTTACTCGCGCGTGGCGTTATAACGAGAAAGTAGGTGTCGAAGAAACTCTTTTGAGTTGTATTTTTCACGTCGTCTACGTTAAATCCGGGTGGAAGGGAGACGATTCGTTCTGTTTAGCGGTTTCCAGGGGGGAAAAGAAGGAACGTTTCTCTGTCCGTTATTATACATACCTGGGCATACGAGCCGGGGGACACCTAAATTTCGAAAAAATTCGGCACTTGTATGTTTATTCGTGTAAAATTTCGGATAAATCAACTCTCCCTCTATCCACTTAACGGAAGAGTTACCCCCGTGGACACGTAAAATAATTAATTTCTATTGTAATAAGGGAAATAATTAGTTATTTCTGCGACTGTCTTACGGAATTCTATGGCTGAGTTTTTGTCAAAAAGAACACCTTTGGAATATTTTCGGGTGTCCCCGTCTTCGGCAGGTTTCTATATTAAACAATAGATGCGATTCCGCGACGATAGTAACGATTTTCAGATTAAAATTTCTCTCTCTCTCGTCGTGCTCGTCGCTGCGATCGTATCCGATCTGTTTCGATACGATCGGCGAGAGCGATTTCGCCGATCAAGTTCTCGTCGCTTGCAAAGTCGCGACGCGATTTTGGAAAATTAATAGAGATATTATCGCAATTTTGGTGTGGCTTATCTCGCAAAATCGCTAGCTACGTGAAACCCTAAGGATAAAAATGAGGTACGAGAGGAAGGCCCGAGTAGAAATCTATTCCCCGTTATAGGAAGAGGGCCCTATCTTTTAAACTAGGTGCGCCTGGTTCGGAAGTAAAGCCAGTCTTTCCGAGCGGACGGGAACCAGTTTCCTCCCACCTTCTTCCGACGGGGTAACGAGAAACTCAATAAAATGCGTAACGACGTTATTAAGATGGCGATAAAACGCGTTATTAAACTTTTCGGATCTCGAGCGATAAAAGTCTGGTCGGGCCCTCTTCCTCTTTCACGTGCCGAGGAGGGAGGATTCGGACCGGAAAGCGGTTCGAAACGATCCCCCTCCCTCCCTCCCTTCGATTTAGATTACGGGGGGGAGAGTTTTTTTTTGCTTTATTACGTCACACGACCGCCGTAATTTCGCAGGCGGAAACTTCGCGCCAAACGATAACGTATTTAAAAGCAATTTCTTTTGTTAACGTGCAATAAATATGTAAATGGACGACGCCTCCGCACTCCTTGCCAAAGTTTATTAAACAAACACGAAAACTTCCAAATTTCCCGGACCGCCGCATTACAATATTCGATTCTCGGCTTCGTATCTTTGTCTAAATTTTTAGCTCGTTAAATAATTTATTTCCTTACCTTCGTGACGTCTTTCTCCTTCTGCCCAACCTCCGAAAACTCCTGGCTCGTTTCCCCCCCAAACGACGCTTTCCCTCCTCCTCCCCTCTCGGCCCAAACTCGCCGCATTCTTCCGGACGTTTTCCAACTTCCGCCGCTCTCGGGGGACGGAAAATCTCCCACCCCCTCCGGGATTAACTTATTCCTTATTCTTAGTTTCCTTATTATTTTTTCTCTCGTGTGACGTTCGGTACCTTAGTGGATAGTCTGTCTGGCTGGCGAGTAAAACTGCTGGCGGCGCGAGCCTCGACGTATCGCGGATGGTTAAGATAGCGATTTTTGTTCGGTCGCGTTGTATAGGCGATTGCGCGTGGCTCCCTGTTGGAATTCATTTTCTCCTTAGTAAACTCGTTATAACGTAAAGTATTTGAGAATAAATCGCTATAAACGGGAATTTGCGATTCTCCTACTTTTCGAGGGCGTCGGGAGCGACGTTTGCGCCCGTTCCGCGCCTTATCCTGCCGATATTTAACGAAGATCTTATAGAAAAGAGTCCGAGTTCGAGCCCGGAGGAAGGGTAGAAAACACTCGTCGCTTTTCTCGCGTTTTACTCCCAAGTTTTATCGCTTCCCGAAAGATTCGTACGAGTTTATTAGCGTGTTTCGTCGCCGTGTTTAATCGGAAATCACGTCGTTGTAAATCTCGACCCGTCCCTCGCTTCTCGACGACGGCACCACGCGCTTTTGGCCCCCTTACCCCATCCCCACCCGGAGGAAGGGGCTCCTTTCTTCGTCTTTGCAAACGTTTCTCGCAAATTTGGCCGGGGGGAGGAAAGCGGCGGATCCGGACTGGCGAGAAATTCGGGTCCCGACCCGGGAGCGAGAAGAACGTCAACGACCAAAACATAAATTTCGATAAATAAATTAATGGAATTAATCGGAGAAGGGGACCGAAATTCGAGTCACGACCGAAGAGAAATTCCGGTCGAACGTGACGACAATCGGTCACGAAGCTGGCTGGCGCGCGCGCGAGCGCGCGGCCTTTTTTTCGTACGAACGGGCCCCGGGGCCGACGGAGGGGGCGGGCCCACGGCCGTTCTCCGACGAGGAAGAGGGAACGACGCGTCGATCCGGGGGAGGGGGTCGAGCCCCGGATCGGCCGCGGCATTCTCGGAGTCGCTCGTAAAATAGGGCGTCGTCCGACCGGGTTACGGGACGGTCGACCATACCTTTCGGAATTCCGGTCGTTCGTCACGCGGCCGCCACGTCACTCCCATTGTTTCCGTCGGGGGAGTGGTTAGCGGGTCCCGGGGGAATCGCCGGAGTCGTCCGTTTGGCAATCCGACGCGACACCGCGGGGAGGCGACGCCACGAAAAATCCGTGCGATTTTCTCTCTTCTCGTTTAAATCTTTTCCCCCACTCGCGCCAGTAACCGCCAATCGCGTCGGTGGACACGCGACGGGCGTTTTCACGTCGTCTCCGGGGATCCCGTTTTTACCTTCCCGTTTATTAGCTTCGTCGTAATTAAAAACGTGTCATTCTTTCTTCCGTCGCACTATCTGGCGCGTATCCGGCGCGCCAGCGAGAGCGACGGAAGGGAAAGCGGTGGGAATCGACGGAAGGAAACGAAGGGCCGAGGTATGGAAGAGGGAAGGGGTGGGGGAGGAAAGGGTGGCGAATCCGTCTTCGCCATTCGTTCCATCTGCCGCCGGCCGTCCTCGCGCCGTAAACGGCTTTCCCGCACCGATGCGTAACGAAGCCGCGAGGTGCGGGTGTATCGATCCGACGCGACCCACATAAAATCCTCGTAAAATAACTTGTCTCCCTCCTCCTCCGCGGACCCGCGTTCGGACGCCCGAACACCGCCGCCTTCTCCACTTTTCCACCTTTCTCCCCCTCTCGTCCTTTCCTCGCTCCCTCCCCGCGCGCCATGCGTCCGAAGCGCGCGCTTCCGCATCATCCGCACTCCCCCGTAGTCTCCCCCTTCCGGTTTCTCGGGGAGCTGGCGTTGGGCCGCGTTTCCGGGCGGGCCGTAATCGGAGGTGGTCGGACGCGTGTGGCGTGGGAAGCCCGGAAAGGCGGCGACGGAAGTAACGCGATCCGCACCGGGAGCGATAAATCTCCCGGCGGAAGGCGAAAATTCGAGAACTTGTTGCACCTCGCCGATAATTGGCAACGCGTCGGCGGTCGACGGTCCAAGGGGAGGATGGGGTTACCTCGTTTGCCCGTAAGTGACGACATCGATTTCCCGGCAAGAAGAAAAAAAAAACGGCGGAAGCGGAAACGGAAGCGCTCGACACTTAACTGGTCTCGTTAAGCGCGCGCCGTCCTTCCACCCCCACCCTAGCGATTAACGTCGCCCCTGCTTAAGGATTTCCCGAGATTCCTTCTTAGTAAACCTTCCCGGCGCCCGGTTTAAAGCGTTACTCCGGCCTTTCCGGTTTTAAGGCCACACCCGCTCATTCCCTTACAATTATTCCTTTGTCGGATTAAAACCTTTATTGTCTCGAGATTTCTATCGTTTCTCCGACTGCGATCTCGCCGGTCGCCGTCGCCGAAATGTGGCGACGGCGACCGGCGAGTTGCTAAGAAGAGCAAAAAAGGGGCGGGATAGAGCGAAGAAACAATCGCGCCGTTTACGCGGCTCCACCCTCTTCGAAGGTACGTAAGACGGCGTTAAGTTTACGGTCGAGAGGTATTGTTACGTCGTCGAATTGTCCACTTTGGTCGGAATTAGAACGTTCCGGTGTGACGTAGGCGGACGACGATCGTTCCGTCGATTCGCGCGAATCTCTCGACGCGATTGGTGGAAAGTTTCGAGCGGCGGGGCCTTCTCCCAGCCCGTACGCGTTGGGATTTCGGTCGGGCCGAATTCGCCCGCTGCATAGGGGTGGAGACAAAGAATCGAGCGGATAAGCGACGGGGGGAGAGGGAGGGAAAGAATCGGTCGCGTGCGTCCGAGGTATAAAATTCGACGCGAAGGCCCCGAAAGGGGGCGAATACCTGGTAGTTATTATGACGTACAGCGTTTCTAACGGTTCAGTTCTAGGCCCGGACGTCCTCCGAAGCGGGCTTCGATGATCGGGATGCACGTGTCGACCGGCGGCCACGCCACCCTGCTGAAGAAGACGAGGCTGGACGGAGACTATTCCGCCTACGAGAATGGACACGTGGCAGGTAAGTGGGCCCCACAAAAATATAAAACAACAAAAAAAAAAAACAAGCGCCCGGAGAAAGAAAGAGAGAGAGAGAGAGAAAGAGATAGAGAGAGATCGCGCGCGAGCGGGCGGCGTGAAATCGCATTAGCGACCGAAAAGGGGAGAGGGGGAAGGGAGGGAGCGGAAGAAGCGGGCATAAATTACGTGATTTAATTATCTTTTATCTCGATATTAAAACGTTTATCCGGCGTTTTAATGAAATTTGCATATTTTGAGGCCCGCCAAGAAAAGCGACGTTCATTACAAAGATTTAGCGCAATTCTATTAGTAGACGGGGTTTTCGTCCACCCGCGCTTCAATTAGCGTTTGGAGGTAGTGTAGTAATTCGGTAACGGGCCCTGGGCGCTACCAGATTATCCCATTCGGTCAATGCAATTAATTAAACGCCAGATTAGAAAACGTCGCTATCTTTGACGACGTAATTTATTAAAACGTTTCCTCTTCCTCTAATGAAAAATGCTATAAATTTATTAGGAAAATCTTTTCTTTGGTAAACACGGACCAATCTGCATATTCTAACTCGTAATGGCTTAATCTACCGAAAGTTATGACTCGACTAATATTCTTCTTCTTTGTTTTCCGCTAAAAGAAATATTAAAAATGCGCAAAATTAAATTTCGCGTGAATTATCGCCATCTCTCTCTCTCTCTCTCTCTCTCTCCCTCCTTTCCCCTTTACCTCCACCCTTTCGCACCCACGTGCCCGCACCGGAAGTGCCCCGATAATCCCTACCGTTTCCGGATTATCTCCGGATCGAGAGGTGAGAAAGACGATTTCGATTTCAGCGGGCTCGAAATTCGGGTGGCTTCTTATAATTATTTACACCTCCGGGAAGATAAAAACAGAGTGCAGGTAGGTGGGAAGCGGAGGAGGAGGAGGGGAGGAAGAAGGGAAAAAGAGGGAGGATGAGGGGAGGGGAGGGAAAAAAAGAGAGCGCGAGGAGCGGGGAATTAGAGAGAAGGAACAAATTTGAGTTAGCGGCAGCTGTTTTGACATAGGAATATGGCGGTAACAAGTTTTCTATTAGAAGTATCTCATCGACGAGTAACGGAATACTCTAGTGGGACCGAAGCGGGAAGGTGCCAATCCATCCCACCGATGTTTATTCAATTAGGTACGAGTTTTGGGCTAAAGCTTCTGATTAATATTTCAAGTCGTGTCTTTTTTTTTTTCTCTCGGTCTTTATCCTTTGCGCTTTCATTCAAACTCATGAATAATGACTAACTTAAATTATTAAGCTTACCAACTATTAGCCTAAGCAGCTTTTGGTCTAAGAGCCCGTCTTCCTACCCGCCATTTAATTTGACAACTTTGAAGGATACCCTGTATTCCTGACCGCTTTCTTATAACCGATTCTTGCTCGTCTTCTCCCTTTTATTTTATACGAAATTTCATTAACCCCCTCTGTTAATTGCCGATTTTCTAGTGTGTTTTCTTCTTCTCGGCCCTCCTCTCCGTTCGGTAAACTGCCGAATTCCTGGCCTTTACGAAAGAGGGGAGTGGGAATGAAGTATTAATCTATTGGAAACGACGACCGAAGGGCTAGAAAAAAGACAGAAGATAAAAAGCAGGGGATCGGATCTTTTGTCTTCCGATCACGACGGGACGAGTGTGGCCAGACAAGCAAAACCGTTCTTTCTTTCCTCCCCCCCTCGTCTTTAACGTGACAGACTGGAAGGAGGAGGGGGGGAGAGAAGAATCGACAAAAGACCAGTTGATCCTGACGTTGGCCCGAAGCTAATGATCGTCGCAGATAAAACCGACCGATGACGTGTGAATAAGTTTGACAGAAAAAGACCGCGCGGAGGAATTGTAAAGATATTTTTTTCCTCTTGTTAAGGGGGGGAGAAGAAGAAAGGGAGAGAAAAAAGGGGGAAAAAACAAAACGTCGCCGTGTAAACTGGGGGTGTGTTTTAGTTACCGGAATGAAAAGAGTGTTCTGGTGGAACAAAAAGTTTACATTCCTCGCCTTTTTGTCGGATTCCTGGCACTTGTTGTGTACTCTCCGGGGGGTTGACAGAGATAAACGACCGAGAGAAATCCGACTCTGACCGCATCTCTCTGCCTGTACCGGATCGCCTGACAACTTCCATTACTCGCTTTTCCACACTGTTACTCTTACTACGTCGGGTTTCGGGGGTGGTACCCCCGTCTGGCCGCGTGTTTTCGTAGTTGTTGACAGGTGTCTCGGGTTAACTCGACACCCTCTTAAGCTTACTTATTGTAGAAAATATATATATAGGAGTCGGGCGATCTTTCGTTCCTTATTTTATTACGAATCTGGTTGGAATGGGACCCGTTTTAAGAGTAGATTGGATCTCGAGAGAGCCCGGACAGATGGCGTCCGTAGACGTAATTAAAAAGACTTCACGCCCGGTGCGTACGCGACACGCGAACCTCAACAGGGGACGTTTTGGTCGCTGCCGTAACCGTCATTCAATTAAACGTTGCCAGTGGTAATTTCAGTCGAGCAGGGTACGTCCCGCGTGGTACCCGAAGCTGTAAAAACGAATGATGCGTGCATCAAGAAGACGATGGGAGGGTGTTCCGGATGGCAGTTTTCTCGTCTCGCATGACGAGATTTCGCGAGACTTCCAACTCTACCACGTTAATTTCCCAAAGACATGCTATCCGGTTTTATACGCCCGGACGAAATCCGGACAAACTTTCTTAAATATATACAATATAAAGAAAGAAATTATTGTAGAAAATAAAAGTAATTGTTGTTCTAATCCCATTTTTTAGGCGAAAGAATTGATAAATCTCACGGTCTACTCGCTAATGGATACAGTCACCACTCGTCGACCGCGGCAGGTGCACCACCTCACATAAGTCCCATCCCGTTCATGGCACTTAACCATCCTTCTTCTCATCCGAACAGCATGGTGCCCGTCAGTTTACCGTTATCCGCAACTAGTCACGGTCACGGTCATCAGCTGACCGGCGGAAGGACGGATTCGTCGATGAATAAGGAACGTTCCACCCACGACGTCATCGTGTCGTCCAGGTGAGTAACACACACCAATAAAACCACCATCTTTCGGTATAGAAATGCGCGTTATCTAATAATAATAATAATAGAAAACACACACAAACACACACACGAAAAGGAAATGGTGGCGAAGGGAGGAGAGGAGGATTAATTGCACGGAACGAGGTTTGAGAAAGGGGGCCTACTTAACCATTCGATAAATATTGATGATGTTGACCGGGGGTTCGGATTCGATGAATCAATTTCACCGTTGGATGAATCCCTGTAGTTATGAGGTGAATCCCGCCTAACTGTTTAACCATGGGAATGGGAAGTTGGCATAATCTTTTGACCGCACGATCCAAAGAGATGAGAAGGGAAAAGACCATTAAATGACATTTGCCATTGTGTTTTGCACCGTGTTTAGACGACACAAAAGGTCTTAGTGTTACACCTGCCCATCTTGTAACAATATACCTGTTCAGCTTGTAGTAACCTGGGGGATATACAGGAAGTAGAACAGATGGTCTCCCATCTCCTCGACTTACAGTACATCCTGTCCTGTCCATTTTGTTTGCATTTTAGTTAGAAGGGAGGCAATTTACTTAACATTTTAGTAATTATCGCATGGCATGAGAGTGGTCGGAGAAAAAACGATCTTCTCTGCCAAAATAATTTAAGATTGTAATTAGCTGTCATGTAGGAAATTTATATAGAGTCTCTGCTATTGTTTAATGAGTGTTTTGTTTACCGGTTACGTAGAGGTCGGGCAAAAAAACAAAGAAAAACGGGACTTTATGCCACCGGGTGATGATTTTATTATCGAAATTAAAAAATAGTAAATGAATCCCGATAAAGCGCGAATAAACAATTATAAAAGCCAATTTTTTTTTTCTTTAATATGCCCCATAAATCTTCCGACTGGACGTGGATATATTTCACACACACGTGACTAATTACGCATACAAATTACTACCTCGGCATTCCGCACCTGGAATAAACCTTTTTTTTTTTTTATTAAGTTTCCTTCGATTCTTTACCATATTTTACGCCGGTTTATCGGGGCATTACGTCGTCTGCACCCTCCCCCCCTTCCATTTGGGTGAAAGAGACTCACCTTTCCATCGAGAGAGATAGCAGAGCCTCCCTAATTCATAAAGCAAACAATGGAGTACCCTAGAGCTCTCTGTATCTGTTTTGTCATTGTATCCACCCAGCAGACAATCGCGGGTTCGGATAGACGGCGATGGGAACCGCCCTTCTTTACCTGATGTACCAGAGCTTACAATCGAACGAAAGAGAAGGGGGGGCTAAACTGCCGAGCTGCGTGCCTCTTCGCGCTTTAACGAATACGATTCCGATCGTAAATTCTCCGCACGGGTGACCTTGCCGGGTTTATTCTAGTCTACGTTTTCCCCCCTGCACTTATCTACTGACCACTGTAAATCTTGATCTCGCTCCTGGCCTACGGTTCCCGCCTACTGCCGGACACTCAGGTGTTTGCCCCTCAGCTCTGTAATGTTACCTCCTATTTTAATCTTAAAGATACGTTTTCCCTCGTCTTTATATATGATGTATCTACATCTCATCGTCTGACCTTCGACCCTGCAGACTGAAACAGTAAATCGATATCCAGGTGGGGACAGGAGCGGGGATGGAGGGGACACTCCTCTAACTTTTACGAAGAGGACAGGTGGTAAAGAAATAAATGGTTTGTGCCTCGATACAATTACATCTCGATACCGAGAATTTATCGATGATTGAACTTAATTGATGATTATCTAGGCTAGTGTTTTAACTTACCCTCCTCCCCCCTTCCAGGCCACGTCATTCGACCAGACTTTCCCACAATTCTTTTCTAAAATTAGGCGCAAAGGCCCCATTTAAGCTGGAATTTCTCTAGGGCCTGCGTAGGTTGGAAATTTAAGGGAGTGAGTGAAAAAGGAAGGGGGGTTATTTAGATGACGAAAGCGGATTGGAGAGTTTCGAGTATTTTTCGTCAGAGGAGGGAGGAAGATGACGATGACGATGGAGTCGATAAAACACGAATCGATAACAAGGTAATAATTGTTTATAAGAGATTAGGTTCCGGAGAGGAGGAAGATAATAAAGACGGATAGAATATGTTAATACGATAATGAATTTGATGAATACAATATCTAAATTGATTAAGCTAATGATCCGGCACGTGCATCGATCGGGGAGATTTAACGAAAATTCGAAACGAGATCCCAATTAATGTGGAGACGAGTTGATAACGACGATAGCGAGAGAGCGAGAGAGAGAGAGAGAGAGATACAAATTGAGGCGAGGTGGGAGAGAGAGAGCGAGAGGCGCGATTAATCGACGACGATAAGGATATAAAAAGATTTGCCGGCTTAAAAAACACAAATTAAATCGTCAAACGAAAGCCGCGACCGGAAAATGAAAGTAACGATAGAAAGGAAGAGGGAAGACGGGTCGAAAGGAGAGGGTAGAAAAGGGAAAAGTGTAGAAAACGTCGAAGAAGATATCGTCACCTTCCATCTGCCGCTGTCAGGGGTTGAAGTGAAAAATGTCCGTTTTTCGCAACATCGCAATTATCGGCCAGCCATTTGCTTTTGACATTTGTTTCTTACGAAACAATGAAGATGTGAACAGTTCATTTAACCGGCGTTCACTTACTCCATTGTCTCCCGTCTTGCCACAGACGGTCGCTTAATGACTCCAAAACAAAGGAACAACGAAAACACCCCCATTGATTGGATCGCCGAATGAACGCAATTACAAAATATCTCTTTGACTCCCCCGTCTCACCCCACCGATATCACTCCAGTCTCAATCGATAGAAAAGTAGTGAGGGAGTGAGGTGCCGTCTTTCTAAAGACAATACCTCACCCACCTCACACACTATTTCGTTTTCCTATTGTCGGCCAACGTGTCATTGCCACGTGCTTCCGGATCTGATTGCAACGTTTCTAAATCCCCGTAATTAAGCATCCGACTGCCGACGTCACTCAAACCGGAGCGACAAAATAATAGGGGAAGAAATGGTGACAGCTTGCCTGGCTTCGGTGGGGTCGTAGCTTTTTTCCTTCTCCCCCTCCTCTTCTCTCTCTCTTCCCGCTCCCACGCGCTAACGCGTAAACTCGCCGCATAGGGGACCGAAACGTCGTCCACCCTCTTAAGAAATTTAAAAAACGTCACACCTGGAAGGGGGAGACTTTTTTTAACGCACGCCCAGGGTCCGAATTAACCGCGGGAATAGGGGGCCAGAGAGAGGGGGAACGGAAAAATCAGTGACGTAGTTAGAAAGGGGGGAAAAAAGTGGAGAGTCAGAAGTTTTACGCTTTGTTTATTTATGAGGCTAGTTAATAGTAGACGACCATAGATCAAGATTAAAATCGGTCGATAAAGATCGGCAAACAAAAGGACAAATTTTATAATGCTAATTTTCTCTAATTATGAATTATCACCGGTGGTGGCGAATTATTAGGCCTACTACTACTACTACTACTACTCCTCCTCGCCTCCCCCGCCGTGCTAAAAATATCGACCGACGTTTCCCTCCCTCCCTCCCCGCTCGACTTCCCCCTCTTCTTTTTAATCGCGCAAACCGCAATATTTGAATCTCCTCCCTCCCCCTCCTAAGAAATTCCCTACCGGGGTAGGGGGGACGGAGGAGGGAGGGAAGGAAGGAAGGAAGGAACGGGCCACCACCCCTTCCCCCAATTTACGCTCACCTAATTACGATTAAAAATTTTTACAACTGGAATATAATTAGACTTTAATAATCGCAATAAAACGCTTTTATCCGCCATTAAAGATGCCCGGAAACGATTTAAAATGGCCGCTCCTCCTCCTCCTCCTCCTTCGGGCCGGTGTTTCGAACTCCGAGCCGGGTGGAGGAGGAGGAGGGTAGGAAGCTTAAAAAAAAGAAGGAGGCGCGACTTAATTTTTTAAGCGCGCGTAATTGATTTAAGTCTAGGGATAAAGACGGGACGTTTGGAATCGTTTCTTTAGGCTTTTATCACTGGATGAACTTTAACAATGGTTTAGCATCGTCCCGCAACAAACAGTCCTCATTTCTCATAAGTCGACTGCATGGGGTTGTCACCTCTCATTTTCTAAATCTCCTTCATCCTGCGAGTCTATTCGAAACCACTTGGTCGCTACACAAGAAGATAAGTAAATTAGATTACGGACTACACGAAAATCAAATTGGGGCCAGATCAAATTAATACGGATATTTAGTATGGAAGGAAAGTCGTAGAGAAGAGGAGGAGGAGGAGGAGGAGAGAAAGAGAAAGAGAAAGAGAGAGACAGAAAGAGATTTATAAGAACAAAACGACGAACCATGCAAATCCTAAAAGATTGCCGAAGCATGGAACGATTTCCCATTAAACAGTTTTTAAAACGAGAAAGGAAAATCCCGGTTTAGAAAAGAAGAAGGAGAATAAAAAACGACTGCTACAATCCGTGGAGAAAGGAGCAGAGAGGAGGAGGGGGGGACAAAATGGAGTAGGACAGAAAAGCTAATGTCCTGATAAATTGATTTGACAAACGGACCTCTCAGCCGTGCTGCCGGGACGGAAACGTCACTACTTTCACCTACGACACGCGTTTTATCGATCGCTTACCGGCGGCCACGTCACTTCCGGTGAGATTACGCCGAGTTAGCTCCTTCGGTTTTGTTTACTGTAAACAACTTGTTTCCTTTTTTTTCTCACCCTCCCCCATATTTTTTTTTCTCTCTTCCTTAACCGTGCCGCCATCTGTCTACCGGCCACTAAATTAACTCGGTGGAAAGACCCACCCGATAATAATAATAATAATTNTTAAACTGGATCGGTTGAAGCCATAGAAATGGGAAAAGATTGCCTATTTCTGTTTGTCCAATTGTACTGTACTTCTCCGACTCTTCTAGGTTTTTTAAAATCTTTTTATACTTGATATCTTAGATATATCGTAGAGAATCGCTGTGTAACCTACATAGCAATTCGTTGTATAAGAGCGAACTGTTTTCTTTGTTTTGTTATCCAGCTATCATCCCAAGGTTATTGTATTTATTCACGTCATCCTATGAAGGAGAAAATAGAGAAGAATCGTAAATGCAGATAAAAATCTCTATTCTAAAGAAATATCACGTTATAGAAAAGAATATTTTGAATATAAAGAAACATAAACTCTGAATAAGTTGAGTTAAAACTAGATAGAATTTAAAATTTTATATTTTAAATTGAAAATAATATTTGTATTTCAAAACTTTAGTATAGTTTATTATATTTTATACACTTTTCATATTATACGTAAAATTATTTAGTATTAATTATGTCAAAATGTGTGCATAAATTCTGGTTTAGTATATTATTTTTTAAATTTACAAATTCTAGGAATGAATTTATTATTAAAATAAAAGTTTTGGAGTAGTTAAAACGCTGTAGAAATAAATATAAAGGAAAAAATGTTTGATACAAACTCCATATCATTATCATTAAATCCATACAATGCATGTATTCCATCATTATTATTATTATTATTATTATTTATAAAGAAACTGCAACAACACCCAAACAATTGGGCGCAGAATTACTTTAATTTCTTTTAGATAGAAAGTGGGGGAAGAAACGTTGATTGGGTGTTAACAATGGGGGAAAAGGGGGAGACGGAAATGCCAACGTTTTTGTGGATTTGCTTAAGCGCTAAATCTTGAATAAAGTCGAAGGAACAAACATTAGATAAAGAAGGGAAGAGAGAGAGAGAGAGAGAGACCTGCTGGTGACACAGGGGCACCACATCGTCAGACAAATGAGACCAAATTAACGGGTAGCAGCGACCCTAATAGAGGAAACCAGAAGATAGCCGTGTTCACCGTCTCTATCACTTCAGTGCACAACAGTAATTTGCATGTCTGTGTGCTTTTAATGAAACACAACAGAATGGAAAGAGAATCGTGTTTCAGTTCCTCGTTCTTATATGATTAATGAAATGTACCCAAATGTAATTTTAAACGGTGTCTTTTCAACCATTTTTCCAGTTTTAATTTAAAGTCATGCATGGAAGGATCGAATTAATTGTATGAGTGAGTTTAGATATATCTATTGTTTTTACAAATTAATGCACTGGCATGCGGGTCGCCATGGTTACCGAAATCGCCAATCGTCTCTGGATAAAACCACTCGTGGTGTGTGTGACGTCACAAAAGTTTACCGGGGTAGTGTCTTTTTTTTTTCTTTCTTTTAAAGGCAGGAAAGAGTTACGAATCTCGGCAGAAGGGTGGAAATTTACTAATTAGAAACGCTTTTAAGTGGCTCGTTACGCAAAACGAGAATAATTGGACCGTCAAAAAATGCCAGGTTTCCCGTCGGATAGAGGTTCCGAGTGTATATATACATATATATATTTTTTTTTTACAAGGGAATTTCTGAGAAATATATTATTATTATTAATAATATGGAGAAACGGGTCGAAATGCCATTTATTCCGCGAATCTCAACGAGCACCGACATCTCCAGAGCCCGTCGTTGTTAATAACCCACAAATCATATTTCATACACCTTTTAACGTCCCACATACAAACACTGTATCATTTCTCCGTTCTGTCATCTTTCACCTGTCCGAGCGTAATTAAAATTTAATTTTCTCTCCTGTTAATTACAAATAAACAACGCTTTGCTCGGAAAGACACCATTCGTCACCACAGAGAAGACACGAAAGCCCAAATGCCGACTCTCTCTATAAGCCCGTTCGATTAATCGTCGGGGTTTAAGAAACGCCACGGGTTCTCTCCCCCCCCTTTCCCTCACCCGAATAAATCCCGGAAAAATTTCCCTATTTGTTAAATACCCTTGTTGTATTTTCAGGGTGCGCGATGATCGAGTGGACAATTTAGATGCCAAAGAACGTCTGTACAATTTAGAATGCCACCGAGTGAAAGACCAATACGTGAACGGTAAGTCCCCATAAACAATAAACGTATTGTCATTCGTTTCTCTAATTAACTCCCCCTCCTTCCCTTCATCTCTTCTTCTCAAAGTCTTATTTTTTTTCCTCATTTCTCTTCGGCAGTTTGGAGTTTTACAACCCTTTCCTTTACTCGCTTTTTTACATCGCTAAATATCGCCTCGCTTAGATTAATCGCTTGCGATTGTTACCTACTAATTATGTTCTTTCCGACTCGTCCTATTTAGGAGCGTTATTGGCCACCCCCGAGATCCAATTGTTGCGCCGGGTTACCACCTGCGCGCAACAATTGGATCCGGGTAGACACTTCCAACGTTTCTATTAAACACCGGGACGTTTAAGGCCGGAGAAAGGCCTTAAAAAGGCGCCCTTTTATCATTTTATAATCGCGATAACTCGATCGTAAGTACGTAAAAACTCTCTTATTTCTTTCTCTGTTACGAATCCCAAGACTTCCTCGAGTTATGCCCCTCCTCCAATTTCTTTTTTTAAACGAAACGGGCCTTTAAATAAATTAAGAACAACGTGGATCCCGGAAGAATACCTCGTTCTCCTTGTCTTCCTCGAGATTCCTACCCTTATTATTAATTTAAAAATTGACAAAACCGGATGAAACGTGTCGTCGCTTTCTTCACCTTCACGCTACAAACACAAGAGAATGGCCCGTTTCAAACACCAAGGCGTAATATATTAATACGGAGTATCTAAGTAACCGAACGATTAAATCGTTGTAGGCCCCAGTATAGGGCCCTGGCGGATATGCCTCCTTAATCTGCGGAGTAATATCGCGCGATCAACAAGCTGTTTCTATCGAAACAATCGAGAAAGATTCCCGTTTCGATTTCCGCCTGGAACGGAAATGGTGCTCTATTATTGGCACGTGACGGATCTCCCCCTCACACATACTGTACCCGATCGTTTAAGAATGCCTTTATCTAACTCAAAACCCTTCTTTGTCGGACATCGAAATAGATCGGGGTACGAACCAAAATGGCGGAAAGAGTAACGTGCAGTTTCCGGAACTCCCCAAATTAAAGGGATTTTTAAATGTTGTTCCGACGACGCGCGTGCGAAATTACTTTTCCCTCCTCTTACTAGAGGGCAGTTTTTTAAAACGCGATCGGATCGAAGACGAAGATCGATCGGACCGCAATCGATTCCGATCTTTAGATCTGGTCGCCATTTTACTATTATACTCGAGAGATTACTTAAAAGGATTCGCGTTCGGTGGCCGGAACGGGAAGCGATTAATAACCACGCGACGCGGAACGTGCGAATCTCGTCCCCCTCCCTGTTTATTTAAGATGACGTAAAGTGGACGCCGCGACACTCTCTAACGGTCGTTTCCCCTCCGACCCCTTTACCATCCGATAGAAGTCGCTTAGCGAGTTTTGCCGGCGCTACCAGACCCGATAGGTCCTATTTTCTTCTTCCCTCTTTACACTACCATCTGCCTCTTAACTCTCGTAGCAGATTGTCTTTTCCCCCTCTACATTCTCGAGCCCAATATTTTAATAACCTTCTGTTCCGTCTTCTTTTCTCGCTCCTCGCCATTTGTAGTCGCGTTTCTCGCTCCGTTTCGTCTCTTCTCTTTAATCGTTTGTCTCGCCGTCGCCGATCGCGTCGCTTTAAACTTTGCGAATTTCCTTAGTATTTCGAAGCTCGTGACATTTTATTTATAAATTTTCGTAAGAAAGTAGAAAACGTACTTCTTTGTCAGTGGAAATATTTGATTTGTCTTAATAAAGACTTTGATCCGATTTGATAGAATAAAGCGACCGCCCTGTTGATCGCTTCCTTCTTCGTTATCGCTGGTTCGATTAATTTCCCCACCTTTTGCGATTTACGCGTAACTTCTCTTCCATCTTCCGTAACCGAATTCGCGCCCGTAACTACGTTACGTCATTTTACACTTACTTTCGCTCGGTGTTTTCCTGTTCTCCCTCCCCCGTAACCATTTCTATTGTCGCGGGCGTGAGAGTTTTCCGCGCGTGAAAATCGCTTTTAGGGGCGCTTTTCCGTCGGGAAAGCGACGTGAAAACGTTTGAAAAGCAATTTCTGATGGCAGGTACATCGGTTAACTGTCACAGTCCCGTACTCAACTTGTCGCAGAACAGCAGTCGGAGAGGAGGGGGCGAACACAGCGGAAGCGAAACGGCATACAACGATTGTCAAGAAGACGATTATAACGACAGCGAAGACGACGAAGAGGACGACAGAGAACAAGGTATAAAAATCCAATTACGTGCAGATTACGGGCAAAGGCCACCCCAACTAACACCTCTTTTTTTTTTACAGATTTCAGCGACAATCCGGACGTGACGAGCACCGGAAACTCGGAACGTCTGACGAACCAGGCCCTTTTCTATCCTCACGTGCAAGTAGACGGGATGACGGCCACGGGTCAGGTGGTGTCGTCCATCGAGACCCTCCTGAGAAACATTCAGGGTTTGCTCAAAGTGGCCGCCGACAACGCCAGACAACAAGACAGACAGATCAGCGTGGAGAAAGGTAATTTGTCTGGACGCTTTATTAACCGCGGAGATAAATCGCGATTAAATCGTCGCGCGTTGTATAATTCTCGCTCACCCCGTCGGTGAGCGAGAAAGCCGCCGACGGGAAAGACGGAAGGAGGGGGGGACGAAAAGACTGCCGCTTTCTACATATGAAAAGCATTAATAATAAAACGTGGAGCTTATAAATATGGCCGCCGTCGCCTTTGTGCACACCCCCCCCCTTCCTCCTCTTGCCTGGTCTTAATTTATAAGCGAACACTGGTTACTTTCTTTTCGGAAGTCTTTATAACGTCATTAAAGCGTTTCCCAATATTCCCGTTTACCGATATGAATAAAGGAGTATGAATCTTCGTCTCGAAAATAAACCTCCGTCCCCATTATTTGCTCGTTGCAAAGCGGGCGAAGAGCGGAAAAATGCCCAAACTTCGGCGTGCGGAACTCATTTTATTACTAATTAATATTCAAGACGAGATGTACCGGATCCACCTTGATGAATATTTAATTTCTGAAATCACAAGAATTTATCCGGGACGAAGTTAAGAAGGACCAAGTGGCGCTTTATGCTTAGCAGCGCGCGTGATTTTCGTTTTCCTTACGCGACATCTTGTCTGGCAAATACTAGAAGCGAGAGTGTCCCTCCAGGAAAACGGGCGCGGACATAAATAGATGCCGAAAATTTAAAAGTTAATCAACATTAATAAAGTTTATCGAAATTTTTCCCTCCGCCGTAGATAGTAATTGTTTATCCCCTGGTCGTACCGCCGTTTAATTAATTCTTCTCCTAAGTCTTTCCTTCCGTTCTTTTAATTAATTATTCCTCCTCGGATTCTCGCGCCCAATTTTACGAGGCGCTCCCCCGCCCGACCCGGTCCCGAAAGGTAAAAAAGGGGAGAAAGAGAGAGAGAGAGAGAGAGAAAGAATAAATAAATAAAGATGGCGGAGATTACGGACGGACGGACGGACGTGACGTCTTCATAAGCTGGGATAAAGATCGGGCGAATCCCGGGGCGTTTAAAAGGACGGAAACCGAAACCGATGGGAAGGAAAGACGAGTGTTTATCTGGCGATTGGAACCGTAAAACGAGGAGAAAAAAAGGGGGGAAAGTATCCTTGAGCGAGTCTGCAGACTCGCAGATAAAAGTAAAGGCTCCTTAATTAGGAATGGAAGTGGCGTAGGGAAAGCGGGCGGTGTGATTAAATGACTGTTCGTTGCAGTTTTATGAGGAGTATAATGTATACGGTGGTAGCGCGCGCTGCGGAGGATCCGGGGTAGGCCCGTGGCAAAAGTTTACGGTAGCGCGGGGTAGAATTCCTTATCTCGCTATTATGTACGACGCGACGAGATAGGTGGCGGCGAACAAAAGGTCGGGGGGGCGAGCGAGGGGGCCAACTTTTCCAAGACTTTGTTACTTATTTTCTTGTTCCACTCGGTAAATCATTAACAAGTGTAGTCACTGTTAAGTAGCGATAAGACCCTAATCACCTGCTCGGAGTTCGTAATCACGCCCGGCACCACTTTCGGCTCCTAATTCATGTCGTCGTTTCGCTGCCGTCCCCCTCCGGCGCGCGCCCCCTACTAACTACCCACTTTGACTCGTCCACCCCTCTTTCCTCCCCTCCCGTCCGAGCCGAAGTCGTCCGACCGGAAAACCCATCCCCGGAGGTTCGGAAATTGCCACTTCCACCTCCGATCGTCCACCCCTGCCGTCCAGGGGGGGCAGGGGCCGAGGTGGACCCTTCTTCCGGTCCACCTCGGGGGAGTCTTATAACCCGCGCCATAGACGGAAGAAGGGGGTTTCGGGTACCGCGGACAACGGAGAAAGGTGCGACTCGGCACTTTAACAAATGGCGCGGAGGTCTCGCAAGTCCTGTTAACTATAATCCATCATCGACCGTCCCTTTTCCCCCGGTCCGCAAACTAAGTTAATTCCCATGCTAGACGAGTCGACACCGATACAATTGTCACTCCGGCTTAGACACCGACAATGCCCGCACGTGGTGTCTCCGTTGCCATGGAGATAGACACTTTTTCCCGCCCCGGGACACGTACGGCTCATCAATCATCGGGGTATCGGGGGTCCGCCACCGTCTCCGCGCATGCTCCTCCCGATCCCGCCGTTAAGGGAATTCTGGGTATCCCGTCGATTAGATAAACGGTAGTGTTTGAAAAATTGTTTTCTTTTTCTCTTCTTCCTCTATCGCTCGACCGTTTTAGATTCGGGAAACAAACCCCGCATTCCCATTCATCGTTAGCTCCGTCATAGCGGCCATTCCCGAATCTCCATTTCCGAAAACTCTTTTAGTACCGTTTCTAGCCGTCGGGCGTCGCGCCGTTAGGCCAGATTAATTCCGTCCCGGGATTATAAGAGAGACAGCGACGCCCCCTTCCGTCCCGAATCGAAAACAGCGACAGGGAAGGTTCCAGGGTGAAAAACTACCGGAAGGAACCGCGGCCGAATGGGGGGAGGAGGAAGACGAGGGGGTCGGAGGCGATCGAGAAGGCATTTCTTTCTTTTTTTTTTTTTTTGTGGCGATTCGCGTTCGAGTCCCGAGAAATTTTAGCGTCTGATTAACCCGAGCTCGCTCTATAAGGTAGAGTTGCGCCGTCGCCACTCGGTAATTTATGGAGTTTCTACGGCGCTTTAATTAGCGACTCGTCGGTTTATGAAGTTTCGTAGCGCCGTTTTACGACTGAGAATGGCCGAATGTAAATTTTTATATCCGACGACGAAAAATTTCTCCCTTCCAAACGCTCCGCCACTTTCTATTTGTCTATATTCCCCCGGGAACCGGCCTTCGTCCGGCCCAAAAAGAAAAAAAAAATAATAATAATTTTTAATTTTCCCGGTCGCCGGATTTAACTTCCGTTCGGCGATTAAAAAAGAAACTCTCGCTAATTCATTCCTTAATTCGAAACTCTCGGTTCGAAATCACGCCCAACTTCCGGCGAAGCGAAGGAATCGGAAGAAGACAAATCACTCCTCGACGATAATAAGTGCGAGATTCGAGTATAACGTAAGCATTCTGGGGAAAGAAAAGGGAAATCTCCTGCTTTGGTTTTCGTTTCTTCCTCGATTTTATGTTCGACGTTTCGAATTGTTACTACAGAAAAATCTACAGAGTCCGGAGGAGGTAGGCCGATGCCGTCACATTTAATTAAAGGGGAAATGTCTAGGCTAGTTACGCTTACGTAATACGAATACGCCCCCTAGACGGCGTGACTGGAATGATCTGTTCGCACCGTAACAAATACAAATGTCAGGTAAGATAGACTTAGACCGATCGTAAAACGTTCGCCACGTCTCGTGATACTCGAACATTCGTAAATTTTGAATGCCCCTTATTCTATTCGAAAAATACCTCAGAATCGGGGATATTTCCCTAAATCGTAGGTCACCGCATTCGACTCCTGGCGGATCTTTTACAAATCGGTCGTTTTTCTGGAAGAAATGTTGGTTAATGCGTCTTAATTAAATACGAATCGAAAACGGATATTTTTTTATTTTATCTCTCGGGTTAACGCGTAATTACATTTGGCATTCCGATCTGATCAGAACTAAAATAATATTTGTGAATATTCAGGCTCAATTTGAAATCCTGGCAACACTAATCGACAGATCGTCGATTAGTGTTGCCAGACGAATTATATAAGAAAAATCGCCAAAATCTCTCCCGAAAGTAACCCGATATTTACAAGATAAATAAACGAAATTACTCCTTAATTATTATTTAAGAGTAGAATTTAGACTCCACGAAATTTTCCCACATTTATCAGTTTACTCGGGCGATGGCCCAACTAAAAAATAGTAGTCTACTCGGCGATTTTTTACTAGTTACGACCCCTTTCGTCCATTTTAAATTTTCCCGTCCGGAAATTTTCGTAAATTTTGTTCGCCGATTTTAGCCGCAATAATAATAATAATAATAATTTTACGCCGTCAAACTTCACTCGGGAAGAGTTAGGAGGCGTTAATAAAAGGGTCTTAAGGCAACTCCTTCGTCTTTTTCAGCCGAACTGAAGATGGAAGTGATGAGAGAAAGAGAGCTGAGAGAAAACTTGGAAAAACAATTGCTGGAAGAACAGAGAATAAGGAGTGAGTTTCTTCTTTTTTTCTTTCTATACCTCGGGTGATTAAAAAAAATATATATCAGAAAAATCTCCGAAAAGGGGGACGGAATGACAATTAAACGCGCGCTAACTGGTTGCCCTTAGAAACCAAATTTCTCGGTCGAGATTAGAAGATTTTTAATATATTCGCGGGAGGGATAATTAAAAAAATACTCAAATCAAACCGGAAAACCGCTCTTTTTTCCGCTTCGGGAATAATTTCCGCTCCGTTGGGTTCCTTCGATAGCTAAGCGCAGCGAGTTCGAACGGGGTCGACGGCGGAAGTCGGACGCGTCGAGTGATGGATCGACGTTTAAACGCCGGTCCGCGAGAGGGCGACGTGGCAGAAAAACGATTCTGATAGATGCCGGCCCGGGTCGAACCCCCGCCCGAAAGGGCGAAACGACGTCTCGCGGGGCTCGACTCTTTTCCTTTCCTTTTTGGCACCGGTCCCTCCGGGAGGGAAGACCTTACCTTACGCTCGGACTCTANATAAGAAAAAAAAAGAGAAGAAGAAGGAGGAGGAGGAGGAGGAGGGGAGACGGGGAAGAAAAAAACGGCTAAAATCGTTTAATAAAGTAGACAGAGTTCCCTTCTCGATTTGTCTTTGCAGCTTACTTCACCGATGACGTCACAGAACATTGTAAAACGCAGAAGTCGAGTTTTTTCGCATCTTTCTTTCACTTAATGTAAGCTGGCAAAGTGATGGATTACATCGTTCCTTATAGGGATAGGCCTCCCATTGCGACCTAACTCCATCCATCATATAATAGTCCGAACCACTTGTCTACCCGGCTTCTTAGATTCTCGCGTTAATCAGTGGCTTCTTTAATTTCCGATGTTTAACTTTCTTTTTATCTTCCTCCTCTTCTAACGCCACCGGGGACCATGAAAACCTCGAGGGAATTTTTAATATCCACAAAGAATTTAATCTACAGAAATTTTCCTCAATTTCTTTACTCTTATCCAATTATACAATTCGCTTATTGTTATCATCATTATGCAATTCGCTTATTGTTATCATTATTATTATTATTATTATTATTATTATTTATAAAGAAACTGCAACAACACCCAAACAATTGGGCGCAGAATTACTTTAATTTCTTTTAGATAGAAAGTGGGGGAAGAAACGTTGATTGGGTGTTAACAATGGGGGAAAAGGGGGAGACGGAAATGCCAACGTTTTTGTGGATTTGCTTAAGCGCTAAATCTTGAATAAAGTCGAAGGAACAAACATTAGATAAAGAAGGGAAGAGAGAGAGAGAGAGAGAGACCTGCTGGTGACACAGGGGCACCACATCGTCAGACAAATGAGACCAAATTAACGGGTAGCAGCGACCCTAATAGAGGAAACCAGAAGATAGCCGTGTTCACCGTCTCTATCACTTCAGTGCACAACAGTAATTTGCATGTCTGTGTGCTTTTAATGAAACACAACAGAATGGAAAGAGAATCGTGTTTCAGTTCCTCGTTCTTATATGATTAATGAAATGTACCCAAATGTAATTTTAAACGGTGTCTTTTCAACCATTTTTCCAGTTTTAATTTAAAGTCATGCATGGAAGGATCGAATTAATTGTATGAGTGAGTTTAGATATATCTATTGTTTTTACAAATTAATGCACTGGCATGCGGGTCGCCATGGTTACCGAAATCGCCAATCGTCTCTGGATAAAACCACTCGTGGTGTGTGTGACGTCACAAAAGTTTACCGGGGTAGTGTCTTTTTTTTTTCTTTCTTTTAAAGGCAGGAAAGAGTTACGAATCTCGGCAGAAGGGTGGAAATTTACTAATTAGAAACGCTTTTAAGTGGCTCGTTACGCAAAACGAGAATAATTGGACCGTCAAAAAATGCCAGGTTTCCCGTCGGATAGAGGTTCCGAGTGTATATATACATATATATATTTTTTTTTTACAAGGGAATTTCTGAGAAATATATTATTATTATTAATAATATGGAGAAACGGGTCGAAATGCCATTTATTCCGCGAATCTCAACGAGCACCGACATCTCCAGAGCCCGTCGTTGTTAATAACCCACAAATCATATTTCATACACCTTTTAACGTCCCACATACAAACACTGTATCATTTCTCCGTTCTGTCATCTTTCACCTGTCCGAGCGTAATTAAAATTTAATTTTCTCTCCTGTTAATTACAAATAAACAACGCTTTGCTCGGAAAGACACCATTCGTCACCACAGAGAAGACACGAAAGCCCAAATGCCGACTCTCTCTATAAGCCCGTTCGATTAATCGTCGGGGTTTAAGAAACGCCATGGGTTCTCTCCCCCCCTTTCCCTCACCCGAATAAATCCCGGAAAAATTTCCCTATTTGTTAAATACCCTTGTTGTATTTTCAGGGTGCGCGATGATCGAGTGGACAATTTAGATGCCAAAGAACGTCTGTACAATTTAGAATGCCACCGAGTGAAAGACCAATACGTGAACGGTAAGTCCCCATAAACAATAAACGTATTGTCATTCGTTTCTCTAATTAACTCCCCCTCCTTCCCTTCATCTCTTCTTCTCAAAGTCTTATTTTTTTTCCTCATTTCTCTTCGGCAGTTTGGAGTTTTACAACCCTTTCCTTTACTCGCTTTTTTACATCGCTAAATATCGCCTCGCTTAGATTAATCGCTTGCGATTGTTACCTACTAATTATGTTCTTTCCGACTCGTCCTATTTAGGAGCGTTATTGGCCACCCCCGAGATCCAATTGTTGCGCCGGGTTACCACCTGCGCGCAACAATTGGATCCGGGTAGACACTTCCAACGTTTCTATTAAACACCGGGACGTTTAAGGCCGGAGAAAGGCCTTAAAAAGGCGCCGTTTTATCATTTTATAATCGCGATAACTCGATCGTAAGTACGTAAAAACTCTCTTATTTCTTTCTCTGTTACGAATCCCAAGACTTCCTCGAGTTATGCCCCTCCTCCAATTTCTTTTTTTAAACGAAACGGGCCTTTAAATAAATTAAGAACAACGTGGATCCCGGAAGAATACCTCGTTCTCCTTGTCTTCCGCGCGACTCCTACCCTTATTATTAATTTAAAAATTGACAAAACCGGATGAAGCGTGTCGTCGCTTTCTTCACCTTCACGCTACAAACACAAGAGAATGGCCCGTTTCAAACACCAAGGCGTAATATATTAATACGGAGTATCTAAGTAACCGAACGATTAAATCGTTGTAGGCCCCAGTATAGGGCCCTGGCGGATATGCCTCCTTAATCTGCGGAGTAATATCGCGCGATCAACAAGCTGTTTCTATCGAAACAATCGAGAAAGATTCCCGTTTCGATTTCCGCCTGGAACGGAAATGGTGCTCTATTATTGGCACGTGACGGATCTCCCCCTCACACATACTGTACCCGATCGTTTAAGAATGCCTTTATCTAACTCAAAACCCTTCTTTGTCGGACATCGAAATAGATCGGGGTACGAACCAAAATGGCGGAAAGAGTAACGTGCAGTTTCCGGAACTCCCCAAATTAAAGGGATTTTTAAATGTTGTTCCGACGACGCGCGTGCGAAATTACTTTTCCCTCCTCTTACTAGAGGGCAGTTTTTTAAAACGCGATCGGATCGAAGACGAAGATCGATCGGACCGCAATCGATTCCGATCTTTAGATCTGGTCGCCATTTTACTATTATACTCGAGAGATTACTTAAAAGGATTCGCGTTCGGTGGCCGGAACGGGAAGCGATTAATAACCACGCGACGCGGAACGTGCGAATCTCGTCCCCCTCCCTGTTTATTTAAGATGACGTAAAGTGGACGCCGCGACACTCTCTAACGGTCGTTTCCCCTCCGACCCCTTTACCATCCGATAGAAGTCGCTTAGCGAGTTTTGCCGGCGCTACCAGACCCGATAGGTCCTATTTTCTTCTTCCCTCTTTACACTACCATCTGCCTCTTAACTCTCGTAGCAGATTGTCTTTTCCCCCTCTACATTCTCGAGCCCAATATTTTAATAACCTTCTGTTCCGTCTTCTTTTCTCGCTCCTCGCCATTTGTAGTCGCGTTTCTCGCTCCGTTTCGTCTCTTCTCTTTAATCGTTTGTCTCGCCGTCGCCGATCGCGTCGCTTTAAACTTTGCGAATTTCCTTAGTATTTCGAAGCTCGTGACATTTTATTTATAAATTTTCGTAAGAAAGTAGAAAACGTACTTCTTTGTCAGTGGAAATATTTGATTTGTCTTAATAAAGACTTTGATCCGATTTGATAGAATAAAGCGACCGCCCTGTTGATCGCTTCCTTCTTCGTTATCGCTGGTTCGATTAATTTCCCCACCTTTTGCGATTTACGCGTAACTTCTCTTCCATCTTCCGTAACCGAATTCGCGCCCGTAACTACGTTACGTCATTTTACACTTACTTTCGCTCGGTGTTTTCCTGTTCTCCCTCCCCCGTAACCATTTCTATTGTCGCGGGCGTGAGAGTTTTCCGCGCGTGAAAATCGCTTTTAGGGGCGCTTTTCCGTCGGGAAAGCGACGTGAAAACGTTTGAAAAGCAATTTCTGATGGCAGGTACATCGGTTAACTGTCACAGTCCCGTACTCAACTTGTCGCAGAACAGCAGTCGGAGAGGAGGGGGCGAACACAGCGGAAGCGAAACGGCATACAACGATTGTCAAGAAGACGATTATAACGACAGCGAAGACGACGAAGAGGACGACAGAGAACAAGGTATAAAAATCCAATTACGTGCAGATTACGGGCAAAGGCCACCCCAACTAACACCTCTTTTTTTTTACAGATTTCAGCGACAATCCGGACGTGACGAGCACCGGAAACTCGGAACGTCTGACGAACCAGGCCCTTTTCTATCCTCACGTGCAAGTAGACGGGATGACGGCCACGGGTCAGGTGGTGTCGTCCATCGAGACCCTCCTGAGAAACATTCAGGGTTTGCTCAAAGTGGCCGCCGACAACGCCAGACAACAAGACAGACAGATCAGCGTGGAGAAAGGTAATTTGTCTGGACGCTTTATTAACCGCGGAGATAAATCGCGATTAAATCGTCGCGCGTTGTATAATTCTCGCTCACCCCGTCGGTGAGCGAGAAAGCCGCCGACGGGAAAGACGGAAGGAGGGGGGGACGAAAAGACTGCCGCTTTCTACATATGAAAAGCATTAATAATAAAACGTGGAGCTTATAAATATGGCCGCCGTCGCCTTTGTGCACACCCCCCCTTCCTCCTCTTGCCTGGTCTTAATTTATAAGCGAACACTGGTTACTTTCTTTTCGGAAGTCTTTATAACGTCATTAAAGCGTTTCCCAATATTCCCGTTTACCGATATGAATAAAGGAGTATGAATCTTCGTCTCGAAAATAAACCTCCGTCCCCATTATTTGCTCGTTGCAAAGCGGGCGAAGAGCGGAAAAATGCCCAAACTTCGGCGTGCGGAACTCATTTTATTACTAATTAATATTCAAGACGAGATGTACCGGATCCACCTTGATGAATATTTAATTTCTGAAATCACAAGAATTTATCCGGGACGAAGTTAAGAAGGACCAAGTGGCGCTTTATGCTTAGCAGCGCGCGTGATTTTCGTTTTCCTTACGCGACATCTTGTCTGGCAAATACTAGAAGCGAGAGTGTCCCTCCAGGAAAACGGGCGCGGACATAAATAGATGCCGAAAATTTAAAAGTTAATCAACATTAATAAAGTTTATCGAAATTTTTCCCTCCGCCGTAGATAGTAATTGTTTATCCCCTGGTCGTACCGCCGTTTAATTAATTCTTCTCCTAAGTCTTTCCTTCCGTTCTTTTAATTAATTATTCCTCCTCGGATTCTCGCGCCCAATTTTACGAGGCGCTCCCCCGCCCGACCCGGTCCCGAAAGGTAAAAAAGGGGAGAAAGAGAGAGAGAGAGAGAGAGAAAGAATAAATAAATAAAGATGGCGGAGATTACGGACGGACGGACGGACGTGACGTCTTCATAAGCTGGGATAAAGATCGGGCGAATCCCGGGGCGTTTAAAAGGACGGAAACCGAAACCGATGGGAAGGAAAGACGAGTGTTTATCTGGCGATTGGAACCGTAAAACGAGGAGAAAAAAAGGGGGGAAAGTATCCTTGAGCGAGTCTGCAGACTCGCAGATAAAAGTAAAGGCTCCTTAATTAGGAATGGAAGTGGCGTAGGGAAAGCGGGCGGTGTGATTAAATGACTGTTCGTTGCAGTTTTATGAGGAGTATAATGTATACGGTGGTAGCGCGCGCTGCGGAGGATCCGGGGTAGGCCCGTGGCAAAAGTTTACGGTAGCGCGGGGTAGAATTCCTTATCTCGCTATTATGTACGACGCGACGAGATAGGTGGCGGCGAACAAAAGGTCGGGGGGGCGAGCGAGGGGGCCAACTTTTCCAAGACTTTGTTACTTATTTTCTTGTTCCACTCGGTAAATCATTAACAAGTGTAGTCACTGTTAAGTAGCGATAAGACCCTAATCACCTGCTCGGAGTTCGTAATCACGCCCGGCACCACTTTCGGCTCCTAATTCATGTCGTCGTTTCGCTGCCGTCCCCCTCCGGCGCGCGCCCCCTACTAACTACCCACTTTGACTCGTCCACCCCTCTTTCCTCCCCTCCCGTCCGAGCCGAAGTCGTCCGACCGGAAAACCCATCCCCGGAGGTTCGGAAATTGCCACTTCCACCTCCGATCGTCCACCCCTGCCGTCCAGGGGGGGCAGGGGCCGAGGTGGACCCTTCTTCCGGTCCACCTCGGGGGAGTCTTATAACCCGCGCCATAGACGGAAGAAGGGGGTTTCGGGTACCGCGGACAACGGAGAAAGGTGCGACTCGGCACTTTAACAAATGGCGCGGAGGTCTCGCAAGTCCTGTTAACTATAATCCATCATCGACCGTCCCTTTTCCCCCGGTCCGCAAACTAAGTTAATTCCCATGCTAGACGAGTCGACACCGATACAATTGTCACTCCGGCTTAGACACCGACAATGCCCGCACGTGGTGTCTCCGTTGCCATGGAGATAGACACTTTTTCCCGCCCCGGGACACGTACGGCTCATCAATCATCGGGGTATCGGGGGTCCGCCACCGTCTCCGCGCATGCTCCTCCCGATCCCGCCGTTAAGGGAATTCTGGGTATCCCGTCGATTAGATAAACGGTAGTGTTTGAAAAATTGTTTTCTTTTTCTCTTCTTCCTCTATCGCTCGACCGTTTTAGATTCGGGAAACAAACCCCGCATTCCCATTCATCGTTAGCTCCGTCATAGCGGCCATTCCCGAATCTCCATTTCCGAAAACTCTTTTAGTACCGTTTCTAGCCGTCGGGCGTCGCGCCGTTAGGCCAGATTAATTCCGTCCCGGGATTATAAGAGAGACAGCGACGCCCCCTTCCGTCCCGAATCGAAAACAGCGACAGGGAAGGTTCCAGGGTGAAAAACTACCGGAAGGAACCGCGGCCGAATGGGGGGAGGAGGAAGACGAGGGGGTCGGAGGCGATCGAGAAGGCATTTCTTTCTTTTTTTTTTTTGTGGCGATTCGCGTTCGAGTCCCGAGAAATTTTAGCGTCTGATTAACCCGAGCTCGCTCTATAAGGTAGAGTTGCGCCGTCGCCACTCGGTAATTTATGGAGTTTCTACGGCGCTTTAATTAGCGACTCGTCGGTTTATGAAGTTTCGTAGCGCCGTTTTACGACTGAGAATGGCCGAATGTAAATTTTTATATCCGACGACGAAAAATTTCTCCCTTCCAAACGCTCCGCCACTTTCTATTTGTCTATATTCCCCCGGGAACCGGCCTTCGTCCGGCCCAAAAAGAAAAAAATAATAATAATAATTTTTAATTTTCCCGGTCGCCGGATTTAACTTCCGTTCGGCGATTAAAAAAGAAACTCTCGCTAATTCATTCCTTAATTCGAAACTCTCGGTTCGAAATCACGCCCAACTTCCGGCGAAGCGAAGGAATCGGAAGAAGACAAATCACTCCTCGACGATAATAAGTGCGAGATTCGAGTATAACGTAAGCATTCTGGGGAAAGAAAAGGGAAATCTCCTGCTTTGGTTTTCGTTTCTTCCTCGATTTTATGTTCGACGTTTCGAATTGTTACTACAGAAAAATCTACAGAGTCCGGAGGAGGTAGGCCGATGCCGTCACATTTAATTAAAGGGGAAATGTCTAGGCTAGTTACGCTTACGTAATACGAATACGCCCCCTAGACGGCGTGACTGGAATGATCTGTTCGCACCGTAACAAATACAAATGTCAGGTAAGATAGACTTAGACCGATCGTAAAACGTTCGCCACGTCTCGTGATACTCGAACATTCGTAAATTTTGAATGCCCCTTATTCTATTCGAAAAATACCTCAGAATCGGGGATATTTCCCTAAATCGTAGGTCACCGCATTCGACTCCTGGCGGATCTTTTACAAATCGGTCGTTTTTCTGGAAGAAATGTTGGTTAATGCGTCTTAATTAAATACGAATCGAAAACGGATATTTTTTTATTTTATCTCTCGGGTTAACGCGTAATTACATTTGGCATTCCGATCTGATCAGAACTAAAATAATATTTGTGAATATTCAGGCTCAATTTGAAATCCTGGCAACACTAATCGACAGATCGTCGATTAGTGTTGCCAGACGAATTATATAAGAAAAATCGCCAAAATCTCTCCCGAAAGTAACCCGATATTTACAAGATAAATAAACGAAATTACTCCTTAATTATTATTTAAGAGTAGAATTTAGACTCCACGAAATTTTCCCACATTTATCAGTTTACTCGGGCGATGGCCCAACTAAAAAATAGTAGTCTACTCGGCGATTTTTTACTAGTTACGACCCCTTTCGTCCATTTTAAATTTTCCCGTCCGGAAATTTTCGTAAATTTTGTTCGCCGATTTTAGCCGCAATAATAATAATAATAATAATTTTACGCCGTCAAACTTCACTCGGGAAGAGTTAGGAGGCGTTAATAAAAGGGTCTTAAGGCAACTCCTTCGTCTTTTTCAGCCGAACTGAAGATGGAAGTGATGAGAGAAAGAGAGCTGAGAGAAAACTTGGAAAAACAATTGCTGGAAGAACAGAGAATAAGGAGTGAGTTTCTTCTTTTTTTCTTTCTATACCTCGGGTGATTAAAAAAAATATATATCAGAAAAATCTCCGAAAAGGGGGACGGAATGACAATTAAACGCGCGCTAACTGGTTGCCCTTAGAAACCAAATTTCTCGGTCGAGATTAGAAGATTTTTAATATATTCGCGGGAGGGATAATTAAAAAAAAATACTCAAATCAAACCGGAAAACCGCTCTTTTTTCCGCTTCGGGAATAATTTCCGCTCCGTTGGGTTCCTTCGATCGCTAAGCGCAGCGAGTTCGAACGGGGTCGACGGCGGAAGTCGGACGCGTCGAGTGATGGATCGACGTTTAAACGCCGGTCCGCGAGAGGGCGACGTGGCAGAAAAACGATTCTGATAGATGCCGGCCCGGGTCGAACCCCCGCCCGAAAGGGCGAAACGACGTCTCGCGGGGCTCGACTCTTTTCCTTTCCTTTTTGGCACCGGTCCCTCCGGGAGGGAAGACCTTACCTTACGCTCGGACTCTAACGAGCCACGCAATTAACGCAGTTAAAAGCGAATTAAACGTAAGTGACGGAGCCGCGCGCGGCGCGTAACTCGAACCCCGGCGACGTGTCGAACGCGGGGGTATAAAGTTGCGCGACGTAACGAAGTTTGACGTCGTAATATTCGGTTTCCGGCAATAATTATTCGTCCGGCGCGTGTCTTAAAATAGCTAAAATAAGCCATTTACGTTATCGTTTCGTGTTACCGACGTCCACTCCAAGCTCTCGTCTCTCGACCCCTAATTAATTCGCTTTATTACGCCACGAATTAAGCGCTCCTCCTCCTCCCGAAACTCTTCTCTTTCTTCTCGAATTTTTTTACCCAGAATTCTCGTAAATTTACGTCAGAGAAAAAAAGCTTCCATCCGATCCACCGCTCCTTCGCTTTTGTTCTTAGTCCAAAAGAAGGGGGAAGACTTTCGTTTCGAGTCGCGTCTAAACTTTGTCGCTTTCTCGCGCGCGCCACCGAAGTTCCGAAATGGTTCGCCATTCCGTGGGTCATTCGGGGGGACGTAAGGGAGGCAAAAAGAGTTGGAGTGACGAGCCAAGAGCGCGGTTGGCTCGCCTACGCCAAGAGGGGAGTAGAATTTTCGTAACGCTTTTCGTGGAACTTCCTTTCCCCAATAGTAACCGCGGAAAATGTTTTCCATTATTCTAGGAAAAACACTAGAAGTATCCTTGGCCCGATAACCCTTTGTCCGAAAGAAATCGCGAATCTCCGAATTTCTCTTCCACCCCGACGAAGAATATAAACAAATTCTACTCTCGACTTGTCGGTCCGAGAGCGGAAGCTTCGTCGCTCGCTCGTTCGCTGGCTAGTTGACGAGCGATTCTGTCGCCTGCAACGGCATTGAAAACGATTGTCGTCGTCGCTAGAGGGCGAGAAAGTTTACCCTTAGAGAGAGGTGGGTTAGAGAAAGTTAATGGACGAAGCGAGAGACGTCCTCTCCTCTTAAGTCGGTCGGTTAAAAGGTAAAGAGACGGAAGGTCCGATTCGTCTAGCAAACATCGAAACAAAACAAAAAATAAGGGGGAGGGGCGCGACGCGTCAGAGAGGGACCGACGGCGTCCGACGTTTCTTTCGGAGAGCGAGATCCCGAAGACGACGCGCACTCGCGCAGCGGCGCCGACCGGATCTCCACCCGGCGCCGAAAGGGAGAGTGGAGGCGCGAACTTTTTAGTCACCCGAGCGCGCCGGGCCGGGTTCTACCTCCGTAGAAAGGACCGGGGATTATCGAACCCGGGGGTATTCGATGGGGGAAGTGGCGCGCGCGCTCGTTAATCAATGTCTTCTCCGATCGCGCGCTCCGCTCCGTCGGACCTTCCGCGTTTTCCGGAAGTGACATCTGTCGCGTCTTCCCCCGCCCCTCCGGTAACGTGTCCCGCTGTCGCGACGCCGGCTTCGAACGTTCGACCCGGCCGCGCTTCACTCCGAGGTAGTTTTAAGCCAGACGAGGTGTCGGTGGGGACGGAGGAAGAGGAGGAGGAGGAGGAGGAGAGTGGTGGGGCGATCGAAGGGACGGAGCAGACAATGGAATTAAATCCGGACGGTCGACTGTAATTTAATAGGAAAATCGGTCTTAAATTAACCCGAAGACAATGGCGCGAGACGGATTCGGGTGGAAGACTAAACAAACGGATCCGGGACGAAAAGTGACGAAAGTCCGATAATTAAAGGAAATTCGAACGAATACAATTAAACCTTTATCCCTTCGAGAATCGCTAAACTTGAGGTAAATCGTGCGCGAAATTGCGCCCGGACGAAAATCTCCGCGCGTCACTTCCGTTTTTCGCTCTCCCCGTCTCGCGCCGAAATTCCGACGAGAAGAAATAATTAAAAAAATATGTATATATATAAAACGCGGGCCCGAGTATCCGCAATAGTTCGGAGGGGGGGACGTCGCGCGAGTCGTAAGGCGACACCCAATCGAGGCGATAAGTTATTTTTAATTATTTGTCGCGCGTGTCGAGTCCGGCCCCCTTTTTCGTCGTTTAATTATCGGGCGCGTAATTTATGTTCGGAAGCGGTCATGGGGACGTTTTCGTTGGCAGTTCTGTACCAGAAGAGACTGAAGAAGGAGAAAAAATCCAGGCGAAGAATTCAGGAGCAGTTGGAGAGTGAAATGAAAAAAAGGGTTCAGTACGAAGAGGCACTGCGCAACAGTTCCGCCGAAACCATTCGCCTACTCAACGGTAAGTCCTCCCTCTCTTTCGGGGGGGGCGGGGTCGACCGGGTTAACCACACTTCTCGCCTTCTCACCCCCTCCCCACCCGTCGGGCGGAGTCCTTTTCACCTTCCGCTTAATTTATTCTGCAGACCGGAAGACCTCCGATCCTCCCCGCCGAAACCAATTAAAACCACCCCCCCATCTCGACCGTAAAATCTGAAATTAGGAACCGTTCGGGCTCAGAATCGCGGCGCTACAACGAGAGAATCGCTGGCCGGACAGCTGGATACTTTTTCTTATCGATTGGCGAGTAAACGTTATTTCGAAGAGTGCGGGGAGGAATCCGGATTTGTAAAATTGTCGGGCGATAATCCTTTAAAGCGCTCGACGTTAGAGAAGGGGGTAAACGGAGAAAACGAGTGGAATAAGGCGGCGTTAATCCGAGTTTCCGGATCGTCGGACGCTTTTTTTTTACTCCCCGCCACGCCGTTTTTATACGTAATCGACGAGTATCCGAGCGCGCGTGGTCATTTGATGGGGTTTATAGAATTAGGGAAGATAAAGCGAGAGAAAAATCGCGAAAATTTGTCGCTTTTAATTGTCTCTATACAAAGAAATAACGGAAATTCTCTCGTGTTTCCGATAGGAAGGAGGGAAAAAAAAAAAAAGAATTTCCCTCCTGGGAATGTCGCGGAGGGAGGGTGACGATCGGTCAAAGTACCTTCGAACTTTTTTTCAAACCGCCCGTACGGTGGCGCGTTTACTTCCGATTAATTCGCCCGTTAATTATCGACGCTAGAGGTCGCTCACCACACGGAGGTGGGCGAAACGCTCTCGTACTTCGATCGGAGAACTTAAAAGGGTAGATATGGCCATCGATCGGTGGGAATTTATTATTAAGGTATTCTTCTACGCAATTCTTAAAATAAGGTATGTTTATAAAGTGTTATGTATAGACGTATTTAAAGCGGATTTTGTCGATTCGCGACACTAGAGGGCGTTTAATATCGGGGCGCCTCCTGACGCGAAAGTTTTACAAAACAGTTTATAAAAATTGTTTTATTTCGCTGATTTTTATTGGTCTAAACGGAAAAAAAAACAAACAAAATGCCGAACGATCGTTGCAGAATAGAATTATAAATACAATAAGAGTAGAATGTAATGAAAATGGGCAGATTTGTATATCGGTAGTTTAATACACCGTAACGGCACTTGACGCATTTACAACTCGCTCTGTCTATTTATATTGTTGTGTTTTCGGGGGGAAAAGTATGTAAAACAAGCGTGCCAATAATGAAAACAACAGGGAGAACAAATAATTGGATCTGTGTTCCCAGTACGTGTCAAACATTCGGTATCCTGCTCCGTCAATTGCGCCATTAAAACAAAAATTGAATAGTATTTCGGTCGGGGGAAGTGCTTCCGACATCTATTTAAAAACTATTTTTAAGTACAAAAAAAAAAGATTTCTTGGGGATTTTTAATCTTGTGTTATAGACACTCGGGTAGATTGGATTGATGGAATAAAACAAGGCAACACGTGGAAAATCTGCCCAGGAAACTGTCTTCTATGTTAGGCACGTGAAGAAAAATCCCGATCCTGTTAGTCTGGCGATAGTTTTGGGTCTACTTGACCACAGATGGGATACTCGGGTCGTTACCTTATTCCATATAATAAGGCTTTACTGTTATTTCTTCGGCCAGCCCACCAGTGATCGAGTGGATAAAACACCGAACACTGGTAGAGATGGTCGCGAGTTCGCGCCTGACCAACGGACTGGCCTGGTTTTAGTCACTTAGTAACACGTGAATAGTGGCCAGTTACCGAAGGAATTCATCTCGAAAGGCAAATAAAACCAATCGATTCCTTGGTCTTTGAATTTCAAATTTTATTAAAGGCACTATGGCCGGTTTAGGCCTTTACCGAGTGTCGACAAAACCATGCAGTTGCAGTGTATAATTCAAACGCGTATCGGTGGTGGAGTGGGTAAAACCATCGAATACCATTAATCCATTTTATATCGGTCTCGGGTTCGCGCCTAACCAAGGCCTTGGCCCCGTAGGATTTTCTGTGTTTTCTTCACGTGTCTAACTTCTTGAGCTTTTAAAACTGAGTTGTTCTTAAATCCTTATTGTTTATTATTATACAAGCCAGAAACCCGGATATTACGTCGGCGGTGTTTTTAAACAAAAGTACTGTCGTCATTATTGTTGTAATGATTTCGTTAAATCTCGTTTCTTTGTACGAAGTGTCTCCAGGAATTTTTTTAATGGTTGCTTAAATATCTAAAAATTAAGTCTATTCTGTTTCCACGCGGCCGATTTAATACCTTAAGCCGCGACATTTCCGGCTACCGGAAGTCATCGGAAGGTGGACCGGATCCGATACGGAAAAATCGGGTGTCTCGAGACTAGTACCAAACGTCGTGAGGCCTTACAAAATCCGGAAAACCCCACGTCACCAATTGTTTTGTAGTTTTATCTTCCGTACACCTTTATCGGCATCGTCTTACTATTACCTACGACCGTAATTTGTTTATACTTCTTAATGCATTCGTTAATCGTACAAGACAGCGAAAAGAATGAAAATACCATGCAATGGTTTTATTCTCTCGTTTCGACTCTGTGACGCCATATCAAAAGACGACTCGACTTTCCAAAAGGACTCGGTGGCTGCGCTTCCAGGAAGTCCTTTAAGAGATTGATGGAATAGAGCAACACATAAACGATATGCCAAGAAGGGAGTGACTCCCGGAAGAACTTCTTTTATGGGAAATTAGGTGAAGAAAACCAGGAAAACTCCACCCGGTCGGGAGCGAATCCTCGACTGACTATCAATATTTTGGTAGCTTTTGTCCACTCGGCCAATGGTGGGCGTTCTTCTTAAGGAACAAGTTAATACCTGCAACTTCGCTCCACCATCGGTCGAGTGGTTAGAATCAGTGAACACTGATAATGGCGGGTACAATCCCGACCTCGTAGAGTTTCTTCACTTAAATAGGGTCCAGCAGAAAGTCCTCCCGGGAGTGATCTCCCTGGTAGATGGCCTATGTGTTGCATTGCCGTGTCTTAATTGAACCAAACCAAATCCATTCTTCGTTTTTGATGCCTCTCATTGAGCAAAATAATTATCTAATGGACGTACAGATTTATTCCGTTGTAGGGTAATTTTAATTCATTTTGTTGATTCTTGTTAGCTTGTAAATTTGGGGAGGCATCCAAACGATTCCCGCCGATAGTCTGTAAATTACACAAGTTAATTGCATTTACCCTTGTTTGTAGGTATTTAATTTGACAATGGCCTTAAAATTCAATTCAAATCTATGATGTTCGAATGTCCGCCGTTTAGAGGTTCGACTGTATATCATTTATAAGTAGGCCGAAGAGCGTAAGGAACTAATACAGATCACATTTTGCCGTCCCAAACGGTTTAGATAACTCCTTATCAATTCTAATTATTTAAATAAATGAAAATCCAGTTAAAACGATGCAATTTTTTTTTAAATATTTCATTTTAAGTAGGTTCTAAAGTTACAGCTTTAGATAAGTCTATTATTACGGAGGCCGATTTACGAAGCGTGAAGATCCTCACAAATCAGTTAGGCCTATAACTTCTGATAAACATGTTACAATTGACGGTCCCCTTTTTTTAAAACCCGGGTGAGTTTTCAATAAATTACTGTGTTTAATTTATATTTTAACTTAATCTTTGTATTGGTCGCGGGTTCGCGCCTCACCAACGAACAGAAAACCACCGAACACTTGTTGTTGGTTGCGGGTTCGAGCCTGACTAACAGGCTGGCCGCGTGGAGTTTTCTGGCTTGTCTTCGCGTGTCTTAACACTTAAATAAGGGTAGGTTTTTAATAGAAAACTCTTTCAGAAAGAATCCTCCTTGGCAGATTTCGTGACACCAAATCAACGAGCCCAGCAAAGGCCTAGTGGATAAAACCACTGAACACAGAGCGAAGTGTTCGTACCTCGCCAACTGGCAGGCCACGTGTTTTCTTCACGTGTCTAACACCTAAATAGGGGTGAGTTTCCCATAAAGAAGAAGAGAACCCTCTTGACAGATCGCCCATGTGTTGCGTTATCTTACACCGTCAAATCCAATTCAATTTCGTAGCAGCTCGTATTGAGAAACGAATAAAATTGTGTTTATAATGTTTAAAACATGGTCTATGTCAGTACATTTAATTCCCTCTCTTCTGTGACGTACGAATGATTATTTATAAAAGGGAACGTAGAAAATTCGTTGTATATCCCGCAGTTTACATAGAATATACTTACAATTTAGATGCTTCTCTCGCAACGCCGTATAAGTTGTATTATCTACAGCCTATTTGTAAAACAGAACGTCAGGTGTGTTCTCTGTACGCGCGTTAAACCCTTTGAGCGATATGCACCAATATAAGAAAGTGGGAATCCTCACGCGCTGAACGAAGAAATCGCGGTCGCAAGCTATGCGAAACCTCTTAATGAGGTTTCGCATAGCTTGCGACCGCGATTTTTCCACGCGAAGTAAACATCGAGTCGTATTTTCGAAAAAGCGACGTCTAATCGCCGCTGTAGATATAGTCGCGATGTCGCAATACTCGGCAGTTGTCGACGAAGAAGAACGGATTCGTTCTGCTTATTCTTATTAAAAAAAAAATAATAATAATAATAAAATAAAGGAAAATTCGGTTAACGTGTCCTCGTCTTCGGCCGGTTTTTGTAATTAATAATCGCTGCAATTCCGTGACGATAAGTAACGATTTCCAGATTAATTTCTCTCTCTCCATGCGGGCGAGTTAGAGTGCGACTATGCAGACGCGAATTTAGAGCGAGCGTGATATTGCGAGAGATTTAGTTTTCGCAAAGAAAAACCATGCACAAACGAGAAGCGAGAAATAACGCTAGCGAAAGCGAATCTCTTGTTCTCGCACATATCTGACAGGTTTTGATATTTATCGCGTCTCGCCTCTTCTCGCCACATATTCTCGCTCGCTCGGAAAATTCGCTCGCTTGCGTCTGCATAGTCGCAGCCTTACGTTTCGATCGCTTATCGCTGCGATTATATCGAAACAGGTTTTTGCACCGATACAGTTCGATTTGTTTGTAAATTATATCTTCGAAATCTTGCCCAGACAACGATACTTTATGTGGACAATATAATACCCACCCGCAAACAAATTAGTTGATCTCATAAAGAAGTGTTTAATGGAAACAAAAGACGAATCTAATTTTAAAATTAAACCTTAAAAAAAATCGCACTTTTTACTCCTTAAAAATGAAAATACCCGAAATCTGGCTTCACTTATTTACACGAATAATAATTGAAATCAAAACTGTTTATACAAAATGTCAGCGAGCGAATGTGACGAGGCTAGATTACGGCGTTTCTCGCTATCAGATTACGGCGAGGTTGAAGACTGTCGAATTAATCGAGAAATCGCGCTACCGAATTTCTCGCTCTCGTTAACATGCCAGTGTTAGCGAGAGCGAGAAATTCGGTAGCGCGAATTTTTTTCCCCGTTCGATGGCGTAGAAAGAAAATGGATCGACGACGACGACGACGTTTGCTTTATCTCTGTTTCGATAATGGGATAAGCCGTAACTGAATTAATTTCTCTCTAAGAAAAACCCTTATCATTTATCTTTTCTCCCGTAAACGTTGAAGAAGCCATGTTTGAATTCGTAAACGTAACGAAATACTAAGTAGAGCTAACGCAAAAGCGAGAACAGCGATAAAAATCACCGCAAGAGCGATATCGCTACAAACTCGACACGAACTCGTTTTGATAATATAATAGGCCCTTCCCCTATATCGAATAAAAGAGTAAAAACGTCGGGTCTTGCTAGAGATTCTTAACGCCAGGCCCTACCTAAGCTGTAGCTTTGATTGGCTTATAAAGCAGTGGAGGAGGCGAAACTAAATTACGGAATAAACAATTGGGGTGCCACCTCTAAATATAGTGTAAAACTATCCATTATACTGTACTGTACTCCACTTTCACGGCATACAACGGAGCATCGCGATTTATTTCCAGGTCAGAAATTACGTTCGCCTGATTTGAAAGAAGGCCTTTGAAAGAATCACGGTCCACCGTGTGGTTCTTTCTGCTAGTGTTTTATTTAGACCAATAAAAATTGAGGATTGATAAGCCAGAACGAGATAACCGGACAAAATCTCGCTGACATCGCTCGCGTTTTTTAACGGCGAGTGCGACAGATTATCGCAAATCCCATTACCGTTTCTCGCAAATCGCTGGCTAGGCGAAACCGCCTCTGGTCGTCTCCTTTCTATACAAAACTCGCGCCGTCGGGTTCGTACTAAGCCCGACGGAGGTCGAAGGTCGCGGGCGATTTAGTCCTTATATTGGAATCCGAGAACGAACCAACCGTCCCTTAAAAGCCGAGTAATGCGGTAATGGACGAAAACGGGGCGATCGATTCCGTAACCGGGCGATTATAAAGAAGGGATTTTGGTTTATTTTCTCCCTCCCCCCAACGGTTTGTCTACGTCACCATCGTCCGTTTTTTGGAGAAAACGCCGACGAAGGGCGGAAACGAATTTCCCCGTTTTCCCGTAAAGAATTACGGAGGAATTTGCGGGAAGGAAGGGATTTCTCGTTTCCTTCCCGTTCCGACACCCTCCGCGCCAAAAACGCGCGCGCGTTTCTCTCCCGTTGGCCCGGCTCTCGGCCCGGTTCGGCGATGACGTAACGATAGGAGGCGAGGCCGGGCCCCCCTCTCTCCGCCTACGAGCCTCGTCCACCTTCGACTGGTGACTCACGCGGTAAGGGAGAGTTCGCTCCCCCCTTTATTTACGTGTTGTAAAAGTGTTCCCCCGTTTTGTTCTTTCAGATTCTCTGGCGCAGGAATTGGAGAGAGCCGAAAGGAACGTTCGAAACGACGCGGAACACAAAGTTCAAGGTAGGTAGAAAACGGGATTCCACGCGCTCTTCCGCTCCCCTCTCCCCCCGGTTAACGCGCAGGCGCGACCGACCGGTTAACCGGGAGGGTGGGACGACGACGGGCTGGGGGGAAAAGGAAGGAAGAAGCGAAGACCGTTTACTCGAAACCTCAAAAATTAGTGGAGGAAAACCGGGAAATCGGATTAAGAAGCGCAAAAAGCCGGACGACCCAAACGTCAACATTCATCGTCGGGATCGAGATTATTAAAAAGTAAAAATAAAAAAATAAAAAAAAGAACACAACTCCGACCCGGTAAACGGAGGGGAGCCGCATTTTTGGTAGGCGGCGCCATTAGAGAGAGACGCAACAATTAGAAGAGCGGCGTCGACCGCTTGAAATTCATCGACGAAGACACAATCCATTAACTAGTCCGGTATTTAATATTTCCACGGAGGTGCCATTAGTAAGAGAAGAGTCGCTTATTCACTCGCATATTGAGTTATCAACGACGCGAAGCCGCGTCTCTCTCTCCGCTCCCGTTTAACGTCTTAATTGTATCTGATCGAAGGAGCGCCGCGATCGCTCCTCCGCCCCTCTTTTTCCCCGTCCCTTTTCGCCCCTCCCCTCCCTCACCGGAAGTGGGGGGCGCCCTATCGCCCGGGGACGATAAGCCCGGCCCGATAAAGCGCCCTCCCGTGGGAGGGAGAAGAAAACTCGGACGTTGTGTATGTATGTGTGTGTGTCTGACGGTGTTTTCTTTCCGTTTCAGATTGTCCCATGTCGGTGTGAAGGGTCCTCGTCGTCTGCCGAGATTCGTCGTCGACTCGAGATGACCGCGCACCCACTTCCGGACTTTTGTCGTCGGAACCGAACGCGTCTCCCCGTTCCGGTGTCGCCGACTCGCCTCGAAAATCGCCGCAAACTTTTTTCATACGTAAAAAAAAAAAAAAAAAAAAAAAACAAAATAAAAAGTGCGGACGGCGCTCGACGCCTTCTTTTCGACCGCCATCTTGCGACCGGGCGAGACGCGTGGACGGAGGGACGACGATCGACAGTGAGAGACCGGCGAGAAGGAAAACTTCTGAGAGAAGATTTTCGGAATCGGTTCTCGGCGCGGAGCGGGCGGGCCATCGAGAGAAGACGCTAAATTTCTTCCCCCCCACCGACGTCCCCGTGGAGGAGGCGCGCGAGAAGATGGCGACGGGGTCGTCGTCGCGTTTCACCCTTCGTGTTTATATTGAAAGAGAACTTCGAAAGATATCTCGTGTCATTTACGTGTTAAATAGTACTCGTTGCGTGTCTTACGTCTTCGATGTGTTCCGGGAGGTTCCGGCGGCCTCCGCCCAACTCTACTTCGTGTTCTTTGATATATTTAAACGACGCGGAAGAAGAAGAAGAGAAGACGTCGGGCGGGGCGCGTTTCCGTCGCGCGCCCTTTCGTCGTGTCCGCCTCCCTTTAGCCGTCTTTATGTACATAATAGTCGATTAAAGGTTCGAATTCCGCCTTTCCCCCCATCGTCGCTTTCGTTCGGCTCGGAGCGACGCCGCCCGCGTCTCGGCGTCCCGTCGCGCGGACGTCGGCGCCTCGGCCCGGGAAGCGGCGCGGTCGGCGTCGACTCGTTCCGACTTCCGGCGCTCGGGTTCGTTCTCCCGTCTTCGGCTTCCGTCCCGCCCTCCGTCCCGGAGGGGCGACGGACGGAAGCCGGACCGGCGCGTTCTTTCCATCCCCTTCGGCGTCGTTTCCGACACTCGGAGCTTCGGTCGACCCGCGCGTCGCGTCGCATGCGCGCGCGCGCGAAGAAACTCGGAGTTACGGGCGACGTCGTCCCGTTCGGCCGCTTCTGTCGTGTCGGTGTACATAGCTAGGCTCTCCCGTGTACCGCCATACTGTATTTTTCTATGTGTTTTCTTTGTGCCTTTTTGGAACAATAAAATAACTTCGCTAATGTCTTCGGGACTTTTCCATTCTTAACGCATCCTGCCGCCATTCCCGTTTACTGAGAGGAAACACTTTCCAAGCGTCGGAACGGAGGATTACCACAGGATCGAAAGGAAACGAAAGCGGACGTTACATCATTCCTACGTCACCAAACGGATACGTCGTTCTCTCGGTATGGAGTGGATTACTCGGGCCTCCTTCGTGGCCCAGTTTCCTACAGAAAATCGACGAAACTCGATCGTAATTGGTCGAAAATCGGCCAATGGCCGTTTCGGTCTCGTTTCTCCTCTTCGGAAGCTACCGGAACGCAGAATCTTAAAGACCCCGACCGGTTATTCCCGCATATAACGCCCGTCCAAATAGGAGGAAATTCCGGGATCCAATTCGTCCGCGCGCAGAACTTTTCGTCCAGGTAACGACCACCTGGCAAAGTAAGAAGGGGGGAAATGCTTCCCGGCATTTGGAAGACAAAGGGAAGAGCAGCGCGTGCAAATTTTCCCGGAATTAGGGGGCGGACCCTTCGCCGGTTCGTTTAATCGTAGGCCGATTATTTTCGGGTTCGAGTCTCGGTCCAAGTCCCGTCGGGAGAAAACGACTTCCTCCCCCTAATTACCGAAAACGACGAGATTTTCGCGCTCTTATAAATGGAGGACATTAGACCGGGATCGCGCGGGATTAAGCGCTCGGTTCCGCGTGGCGGCTAATGTCGACGACGGGATTGGCGTCTTTTCCTCTTAACGCTCGGTCGACCTCCCGTCTCATCGGCTCGGACGCGTCCCTTCCGATTCGCGGGGCCCCTCTTCACTCTTAACTGCGCTTTCTTAATCGCCCATCCTCTTCCGCTGGTCGCACCGCTCCGACGGACGCGCCAGTACGCGACCGATGCGTCGCGCGCCCCAAACTCTCCTTCCCGGAATCCTAGTGGGACGAAGGAAAGTTTGGAAGGGGGAAGCGCACCCTCCCAGGACGGAAGTCGGGAGGGGGAAGTGAAGAGACGACGGCGGTAATCCGATAGGTGGGTCCGGGATTTTCGGAGGGCGGGCAAAAAGCCGGCGTGGCGACGGAAGGCGGAAGGGCCATCCGGGACGAAACAAAAGAACTCGGATCGTTTTAATCCCTTCCTAATGGAGTCGGCGGGAAGTAACGGGAGACGATCCCGTCTTAACCCCGGCGCTTTTAATTAAAAGAGCGTCCGACCGAAGCCCTCTTCCATTGTCGTCGTCGACCGAAAACAATAGACCGTTAATGACGGCGGCGAAACCGGACGCCGACTCCTCCCCCGCCATTCTGTGCCCCCGGACTTTTTCCCCGGAGGAGGAACAGACCCGAAAAGGATCCGACCCACGTTCGGTTCCGGGGTTTCCAGGCGCAAAAACCGTATTACTCTTCTTTAGGGAGGGACGGGTCAGGCCGTTGGCGCCTGCGCACCCAGGCGGAGGAGTGCAGAGAGGAGCGGCGAGAGAAACTTTTATTTGCGAGAGTCGAAGACGAGGCGACTGCCCTCGTCCCGTTTCCGAAGGAAGCGGAACCCGCCGATCTTCCCGGTTTGGAAAGTGACCCGGAAGTAGATCCGAATCGGCCACTTCCGGAAAGAGGAAGGACCGAAAAACCGCCGGCGCCAGATTCTGTTCGGAATCGCCTCTCGATTGGTCGGTCCCACCTGGCGGAGAAAGAAAGCGATTAATTCGGAGGGGGCGGGTGAAATTTTTCGTTTGCTGCCTTTCCTCCCCCTCCGGGTCGAAGGTCGGAGGTGGCTTCGAGCTCTTCCGAGAAATTTCCGGTCGAACCGGTCGGTCGGAGCGCATCGTCCGCCGATGCGCCTCCGACGCGTTAACGGAAAATTTTCGCCGGACGATCGAAGGGACCGAAACATCGATCGAGGAGGAAGAAAGCGAACCGCCGGACGGATTTTTCTATCCATCACCCGGCGGAATTGGAGCCGTGACGCGTCTCGACCCCAATCCGCTTCTGTCACGAGCAGCTGCGACCCGGTCACGCGACGGCGCGGGCTAGCGTCGTCGCCCGCGGCTGATGGATTTTTACGACGTCGGAGACGGACGATTCCCCGTTTTCGCATTAACCCGGGCCACGCGATGTCGGACGGGAATCGTGCGAGAAGACCACCCGGCCGCGTTTCGTCCGTAATTTCTCTTCCGTAATTGATGAAGGCGCTCTCTCTTTCCCCCCATGCAAATTTCACGGACGCAATTTCCCTTCTCCTCTCGACCCGACGTAATTACGCGCGGCTGGCGACGCGTCTGTTCGCTCCTCTCGACGTCGCGCTTCCGGCGATTAACCAGCGGAACCGGGTTCCGGACGGAGGCGACGTCACCCGATCGAACGGGCGAAAGGGGGAGGGAGGACGATGGCCGAAACCTTCGGGCGCCCACCGTCGGGTGTCGGCATTTTATTCCTGGAAGGTGGAGAAAAGCCGGAACCGGAAGGGAGGAATTCCACCCCTTTCGCGCTCGGAAGGGGGAGCGAAGTAATAGACGGATTCGGATTTATTAACGACCGATTCTTTTCTTTCTCCACAGTCGTCGCCGCGGCGCGCGCGCGACGGCGACGACCGGAAAAGAAGAAAGGCGCCGGTGGAGAAAGCCCCTTTGAAAAATGAAGGGTAATAAATCTACTTAAGAACGTCATAAATCCGGGGGTGCGCAACGCGCCGTTGATTTACGGTCCTCGCCGGTCCACTACTTTCGGCGCTAATTATTCCTCGTTAGCGGCCTCCCGGTATTAATTCCGCGATCGATGCCGATCGGTGGCGTGACCGACGTCGAGTGCCGCGGCGCTTGCGCGCGCCTCCTCCTCCCGTGGACGACGTCGGGCCGGGTCGGGCCGAACGCGGAGGAAAAAATCTCCACCGACGGTTTCTGGCGGAGGATACCCGCCCGGAGCCGGAGGCGGGAAGAATTCCGCCGCGCGTCGGGCGCCCGGGGGCGGCGCAGGGGCGTTCCCGAGAGAGCGGTCGACAGGTGCCCATTAAGGTCGGAACCGGGACCCGTAATTACCGATTCTGGGCCGTCGGGCACCGAACACCGGCTTTAAATATTAATCCCGGACCCGGATAATAACAGTTCCGTTTAAAAGCCGGTTCGTCCCACTTCCCGCCGATCCGCCGGTCGGTCGTCGCGCCGCGGGTACCGCTTTACCTTCCCTCTCCGACGTTGGAACTAACACCTCCTCCCCCCCGGAAACTTTCGTCCCGAATCGGTAACGTCACGGCTTCCGGCTTCAATCTTTCTTTATTTTATCTTCTTTGCCATTTACTTGCGCTCCCGCCCATCGGCGTTAAATTAAAAGACCAATTTTCCCCTCATCGGTATCGAGTTTGGCTCCGCATCCCACCTTCGTAATGGACTTCGTGCCGGAAGGGCGACACCACGCGGCGATTTCTAGACTCTCTGGCGTATAAATCCCGGCGACGAAACGTATAAAAAATGAAAAAATGGCGCTACGTTAAACGGCAGGCAAAATCGGCATTTTAAGAAACTCTCCGTTGGGTACAAGCTACGGGGATTCTCGTTTTTCCCACGCGACCACGCTCCCTTTCTGGAAACGGAACGGGATCGAAGCCGCCCTGGCGTAGAGATTACGAAAAATCGGAAAGGATCGACAGCGCCCCTCATCGGCTTTTTCCGTAGCTTCCGTATTTTTAGATTATTAACTGGAGCGTCACCCCGGAGGTGGATTCGCTTCTCTTTGCGGGTGTGGATTAAAAGCCTTTCGGCGCCCGGGCCCGTACCCGGTAATGGAAGAGAATGCGAAACATCCGGAGAGATCTACGGAAAATGCCGACGTTTGCTCGTTTCGTGAACGTCAGAAAAGCGGCCGAAAAGGAGAAAGCCGAGATGAAATACCATTTGCGTCGTCTGTGAAAAGTTTCGTCCAAGGAAGGAATGAAGGTTACGCGAAAAAAGTGGCACCGGAAGTTGGCCATAAACGGAGTTTGTTCGCCTTTAACGAATTTTCGTAGTTTCTTCTACACGCTGGTGTTTTTTTTTTTTTTTAAATTAATGTTTTCGGACCTTTCGGGTCCGAAAATGGGAATTGGCGGAAGATAGTCGGTGGCGCCAGGAAAAAATTAAAAACGATTTGTGGCCGCTTCTTTCGTTAAATGTGAAACCGGAAGAAGTCCGAATTTCCATCCAAAAACAGTGGCGTGACATTTTGATCCCGGTTTCCGCCATTGCCGACGAGTGCCGAATTGTTTCGGTCGAGTCGAAATATGTCCCGATCGTAAACCCTTTTTGAAACGAAAGCGGAAGCTCGGACACAACGCGAAACCCGTTATACGCACCAAAATTCGGAGACGACCCACCATGTTTGAATTAATCCTTCCAGCGACGTCACTTCCTCTCTATCCTGGCTTCTTACATAAAATTACATCAGAATTCTATTAAACTTGCGCGCGCTTCGTAAAGCACCAAGACAGAGAAGTCGACCGCTCGTCTCGTTTCCCAAAGGCCTTACTTATAAGAGGCCTTTCGATTCTAACCTCGCGCCCGGTACAAAAATTAAGCCCGCTATTTTTTTCTATTCTCGAAAATAACTGCGGAGTCGAAAAACCCACGCTCCCTTCTGCAGTCCCAAAAACAAAAGGGAAATCCCCGCCGTGCGGGGCGTAGGAGATTCGCCCCCTTGTATTTCGGTTGCTTTGGAACGGCCCATGTCGAGCGCCCTTAAGACAATTTGGTGCGGTGTAGTCGTTCCGCACGTTCTTTCGCCCGTAGCTACTAGCGCCAGAGTTCCCGGTGGCGGACGTTAAGTTAAACTAAAAAAAGGAGCGGAGGCCGAGAAACCGGCGCTCCCCCCCGAACCGACGGAAGTTTCCGTCGGAGACGGGGCGAATCGGAGCACGTCCCTAGGACGGCTTCCGTTTACCGCGGTAACATCTGCCACCATCGATCGCCCCCGTTAACGAGGGTTCCTTCTCCGTCAACAGTTTTCGCTCCGGAAAACTTTCTTTTCCTCGCGCCCGCTAATTTACGCGCAGGCTCCTTCGGCTAATTAATCAAAATCTAACGCCTCCGATCGCTCTTCCGACTCGGACCCTCGGCCTCCGTCCAAGCCCTTCCCTCCTCTTCCAACCTTCCGGAAGCGCGCATGACGGCGCGCCGCGCTGCGCCGAGAAAGGCGGAGGGAGTTGTGTCGGCGTTCGGGGGACGGGAGAGGGCGGGAGCCCTTCGCGCCGGACGGGAAGAGAGATTAACAAATTTTGCCGGCTCCGTCATCGATTCCGGAGCGTCGGTATTAAACGGGAAGCGGGCGCCGGGACCGAGGACCGATATGAATCACCGTCCAAGGCGACGCGCGCGCCGGAGGTAGAGGCGTGACGTTGACGGATGGGAGCGGGTCCCCGGCCGATTCGGGCACCCGACGGAATCGGCCCGATTCTCCCGACGACGTCTCAATTTGAGGCGTCGCCCCTCTTCCTCCCCCTCCCCGACTCGATCGATATTAATCGATGTCCTCCTTTTTTCGACCGGGGGAAAACTTCTCTCATTTGCATTTTAATTGGTCGACCGCCTTCGAGTCAACCGATCTCCTCCGTCCGCGTAATTAGAGACACGGCCAATCAAAGACTCGCCGGCTCGACTTTTTCACGCCTCCTCCCCGCTCCCCCCCCGGAATTCGGCCACTCCGTCCCGGAAAGAGGTCCTCCGGCCGGGGCACCCTTTCGGAAGCCTCCTAAAAAAATGGCGGAACAACAAGTAAAATGGCGAGTGGAGGGGGGAGGGGCCCGGCCTGCGACCTCCGCCGTTCGGAATTTCGGCGCGGTAACGACCCGCGGTCTTTTTCGCCTCGTAAACGCCGAGGTGTTTTACGACCCGGGCGTCTCGGCCATCGTCCGAAGCGCCCCCTATATAAATAAAGAGGCGGGGAAGGAAGAGGAGAGGGAGGGGAAGGGAGTCCGAACATAAAACAGACCCCGCCCGTTCTATTATCGTTTCTTTCCGGGTCGGATCGGTAGCGGAGAAGCCCGTAAGAAGAAAAGTGGTTCTTTTATTTCCCTCTTATCGGCCGCTAGTCCGGCATCGGCCGGGTTTTTAATACACTCGTCGTCTTTCACGGGCGGGTGATGGGCTTTGGTTGTTAGAGACGAGATTACACGCTCTCTATATCATCGCCGCGTCATCTTCCATTCCGGGTCCGTCCTCGGGGACGCTATCGCCGTACACTTTATTAAAGTTTCAACAGGACAACGCTTTTTTGATTTACTTTAACGAGTCGCTTCGCGGCCTTCTTTATCTCCGTCTTCCCGACGCCTCCCCCCCGGCCCACGCCCCCTTCTCCCCGCAACGTAGATAAGACATTTTTCCACCCGTGGCATTTATGACGCGTAACGCCGCCCGCCGTAGGTGAGAGCGTCTCGGACTATTCGGGACGCCGCCGCGCGCGATAAACTTCTCCCCGCGACTATAAAAGACCGGCCGTAATTTCGTCTCTTTCGCCGACTTAAACAAATACATATTTTTCTGCGGTAATCCCGTCCCCCGCCTCTCCCTTCCCCTCCGCTTTCGCTCCGTTCGGGACTGGGGGATTGATTCCGCCCCCTAATCCCCGTTACCCCCGCCTCCGCGGCCACGCGCGCGCTGCGCTGCGCTGGCGCCACGGCCGCGGGGGTTCTCGGAGAAAATCGGGCGCTGGGCCCCCGGGGCCCAGGCGATTTTTTGGCGTTTTTCCCGGCGGGATATTAGCCGAGGCGGGAAAGGCGGCTATTAAAACAATGGTCGAATAACGACGTTTAATGAGAAGCGGAAAGATTAAAAATAAAGTTATCTGTTTCCCCGCCGTCGTCGGTAATTTGCGCCTACCTCCGTACTTATCGTTAATGTTACGCCGGTAATTGTAATGGCTTTCGAACAGATGGTGCTAATTTTAATTGTGTTTAATGTATTGTTTCGGTGTCGAGAGACTTTTGTTATTTCTTTTCCCCTCCCCCCTCTCTCTCGTCCTTCCTAATATCTCTCTCCCGACTTTTTCGCCCGTTTTTGCCGCCCTTTTAATCTCTTCCGCCGTCCGGAATCCGCGGGCCCCCGCGTCCGTCCGGCGGGGCGCGGGGGAAGGAAGGAGGGGGGAACCGAAAGGGAAAAAGAAGGGGGAGATTTATCGCGGGCGAGTAGCGGCGACGGACGAATATCGAATCCATTAGCGGATGGCCGCGGCTACTGATTAATTTCTGGCGTATGCGCGCCGCATTTGTCTCTGTCACCGCTTTAGGAAACGCTCTCTATGCTCGAGCACGAACGCCTATTTATAGACGTCCGATCTTAAATGCCCAAGTCTTAATTCCAATCTTTTTCTTTTATTAACCGCATTCCCGCTCGGTCCCCGCCGAACAAACACTCGAGCGCCATCCCCCTCTCCCCTCGCCTAATTTTTATTAATCTCGAACCTTCCAGAGTAAACTCGGCCGCCAGGGTTCGCGAAAAGAAAGAAAAAAAAATTAAAAATTAAAAAAAAACCAACGACGACGACGACGACGACCTCTGCCGGCGTTTTAAAAAAATAAAAATTTTAAATATCTTCGAAACGGGTCTGAAGAATAAAATGGCGGCCGAAATTTTAATCCGACGAAAACGAAGACAAATGGCGCGAGACAATTTTTGATAAGGTTATCGAGCGCCGGATGATAAGTTAACCGGGAGGACTTTTAAACTAATTAAATATATTCTCGGACGGGATAATCGATATAAATGATAATACCTTCCTTCTTAATTGTTAGGTGGCGGGCCGACGACGTTTCCTCCTCCTCCACCTCCTCCCCTCGAAGTAACGCCTGGTCCTCCATTTTCCCCGAATTAATTTCCGCCTTTCCGCCGATCGAAAGGGGGGCAAACTGTACCAAAAGGGTATTAGTGAAGTTTTCTTTTTATTTTTCGACAATTATAAATACACAAGACACGAACTGCGCTCGCTGCTAAAACTCCGGACGTACCGTTTTCCCCATATTTAATTTAATACCCCACACCTCATCCACCCAGAGATTATTATAATACGGTTTAACCGGTGCGCCCACCCGCCTCTTCCTCCCCGTCCTAAAAAAAAACAATAAAAAAAACAAAAGATTCCACATCTCTTCTAAGCGAGAAAAACTGTTACTTACTGTATACATATACATTTATATATATAAATTATTATTATTTTTAACGACCGACTCGTCTCCTCCTCCTCCTCCATCTTGTATATTCCGTAAAACATATTTACAACCGACGATTCTTGTGTTTGTTTTTTTTTTTCCGCATCTCGGACGTTAGTGCTTCTAAGGAAATTTAGTGTAGAGAAGGAACCATGGGCGACAACTGAGATATAAAAGAGATCATGTTCCGTAAGAACTGGCGTATTATGTCCGGTAGGCTCGGGTTGTCGGCGTAATTCTCCACCATGACTTTCAGCTCGTGGAAGATTTCCCTGCGAGGAATAAAAGTAACGGCGATTAAAACACCGCGGAAGATTTTACGTGTCTTCTCTGCTCAACCTCCATTTAAAGAATGGAGGTTGAGCGAAGCGCAGATTTACAAATAAATGAATTCTTTCGGCAATTAATTCCTTTGTAAACGTATCGCGCGCTCCCGGCTTTATTTACCGCTCGAAAACTATGGGAAAAATCGATATAATTGTTTAAGGTCCTAGTTAATTTGGGCGGTGTTCGGTCGACTCGATACCTATCGATAAACGAAGAGTTTCGTGCGTTTTCTAATTCTAAAACCCGCTTTAAAATCCCAGTTAATGCCGTTTCGTTACGGACACTGGAAAGCATCGAAAGAGAATTCGAATTGTTGGCATTTTTCGGATTCTGACGGGCGACTAATTAATTAATTAGACAAAAAACCTCCCTCCCCCCTCTCTTCTATTCGATTTACCGCTCGTAAACTGATCTTTTTACGAGTCGTACGGCTTCGTCCGATCGGAGAAAGAATATTTTCCAGTAATTTTCCAATCAAAGTGACAAATTACTTCCGTTTTTAAGGCAATTTTTCGTACGAACTTTATGCAATTTTACATCGATTCGTTCCTTTATTTTGCCATTTTGTTATCCCGGCCAACTGATTAAAAAAAGAAAAAATCTACGTTAAGAATTATCGAAACGGAAAATNGCCAGACGATAATGCTCTGTAGGAAGACGACGACAAAGAATCAAGAGATGACAAATCCGAGTCTAATGACGGCAACTGAATAATTAAACAGTGTAAAATTTATTCCTTATGCTTGATTAATAAATTTTCATTTTCCCGGGGTTGGCTTACCATCAGTGTCAGCTTATAATAGAATAAATACAGTACTTGGGACTGCACATAAGAACTATTTTAATTTAATTTTCTCCGTTAAAATAATTTTAAATGTGTTCTATAAGCTATTAAAAGCGTTTTTATTTAAAGCCTTTCTTTTCTGTTTGTGAAGCATAATAATTTATAAAAACTGAATATAATATGAATAAATTCCAGAAACTGCTACTATATTTTAAATATATTAAATAATAAATTTTCTTTAACCGTAATAAAATTCTTATTAATATGTTTTAAATCGTAATAATAAATAAAACTTACGTTAATAACATGACAATGGAAAGTGGCATGATGAGTACTTCGGCCCAAGCAACCAGAGTCAATATGTAAATTTCGTGATGTTCATTTATACTTCTGAAAAAGTTTCCAATTGTTGACGTGCCTTCTCCTAATTTCTATAGAAAAGTAATAATAATTAGATTCAATAAAAAATTAATATATAATTTATTTCCAAGCTATCTTATATAGCATCAAAGCTTCAAAAAGTTTGCAGAAAGTTTAAAAATTATATTAGAATACTATATAATGAACATCTTTAGAACAAATGCAATTATTCAATAGAAATTACAGAAAAAAAAAAAAAGAATGCTGTTTTTATTGGTCTTAAATCTGAATTCTTTTTCTTCTTTCACTTTTACACTTTCTACTGCTCTGTTGGCACTAAGAGGACCTTTTCTTCATTCTCATTAAGGATTCAACAACACCTGCAGTGTGCAACTAGTGACAGAATGTTTTAATATGGTAACTTTTAACTTGATACAGATTCTTTCATCACACATCATCACCCAGGCAAATTTGAATTAGGAGCTCCATGAACAGTGTTGACTTCAAACATTTTTGTTTGAGAATTTTGGGGATATTTTCCCCCTGGTATCCTCATTTGTTTTTTTATGCAGCCTCTGCGCTGTGCCAGTACCACACCAGCAATCTAGGATCCTAGATTACTGGTGTGGTGCAGGCACAGGGTGCACTGACACGGCGCAGAGGTTGCGTCTATCTATATTACAGACAGATAGGTGCAATCTCTGCACTGGATATTAGCTTAGAGGTCCTATCTATATTAGTTTATTAAAAGCAGTTATTAGCATTTACAATTTTTTCTTTAAAACTCATCCCTACCCCAAAAATAAGGTTTTAGCCCTTTTTATAACCTTTATAAATTCTCAACTTCCTTTCCAGTCCTCTTAAACTCCTGTTCAAGTACAGAGAAAGTCACGAAAGAGTCCTTGCCAGCTGTTTTAAACTTCAAACATTTTGTATTCAAAGCATTTAGGATACATTTTACTATGATACAATAAACTTCCAACAGATAAATTAAAACAGTAATTTTTTCTAGAAATTAACTTTTAAAATATGCAAATTTTCTGTTATGTTATATATTATTTTAATAATTAGTTTACATTATTATCTGATGTTTCGTTAATAAATGTACGATTAAACATATGTTTACATTCATAAATTTCATACTTTAAATACAAATAAATTTCTTACACTGTAATCAAATTTGAGTTAGAATAATATAAAGATAAAAAATACATTTTGGTGATATACTTACATTTAATATTTCAAGACTATATTGAGAACAACTCCACAAATTATATAACACTAACGATATTAAAACAACTGTTATTTTGTTAAGAAGAAATCATTAATTCATTAAACAAACTGTAGAACAATACAAATATTAAAGCAAATTATTGAAATACTGTTTCAAAAATGTTAATTACATTGATAATGCTCGTCTTTTTTGTTTTAATCTCTTCGGGAATAGTCCCTGTTAAAATTTTATAAACATTTTCATTGTTTTATGCAGAGACTAAAGTGCAACAGCTGAAAAACAATATTTCTAACAGAAATATATATTAATATCAAGGACTACTTTTCAGCTGTAATGCACCATTATGCTGTACATGCAGACAGAACAAAAAGTATTAATAGTGTGTAGTACTGACAGGTAGAATAAAAACAAATAAAATTAAATGGGTTACTCTATTGGTCACAACAAAGCTGATTGGAGCCAATGTAAAAAACAAAATGACTGAGGATGTTTCCTTTTATCGAAGGCCATCTTTCAATGAACAGACAATACACTCTGACAACTGTCTGTTCCCACTTGTTGAATTTTTCATACGTTAAATATTTAAAGTCTGATAACACCTTAAATTTGTTTATATTTGATTAAGTTAAACATTAAAATATCCAAGTACTTTCTATCTAAAATCATGATTAAAGTCATTGTAAAGTCTGCTACTGTAGATGTTATGTTTTAAATAAGATAAATGTGTTATTTTCAAAAATTCTATAGTAAATTCCATATATTTGTAAAGAAGAAAAAATTGTGTATCTATAATTGCTGTAAAGAAGCACTCTAAGACATTACTAGTAAAAAATATTATATAGTAAACCTCACTAACTTGGTCTCTGAATAACTTGAACAAATTTTTTCAAAGAATTGTACAGTAATTTAAAATTTCTTGATAATAAAAAAATTATAACTAATGAGTAATTTCAACATCCAGAAGTATTTGCGATACTGTGCATTATACTACTATAGTCAGTAAATTAATAGACTTACTAAAGACTGTACAATACTGTATATTGTACTGTCATGAAATTGAGCTCATTTCTTGTAATAATTAAGCAGAATAATCTACAAAAGTTCTGCAAAACTTCAGTATAAAGCTGATTGTAATAAATTACTGTACTGTATATCCAACTCCTTATTTTACATGTTTTTGAAGAAAATACCTGCTAACTTGAACTTTCGTAAATTCACACGACTTCCCCCCATATTAGTCCGAGTTAGAAGAGGTTTACTGTATTTAATAACTTATATTTTAAAAAAATTTGTAATTAATAATAATAAAATATACATTGCTATATACTGTAATTGTGTTAATTATTATTGGAGAATTATGCAATATACACTAATCGATACAGTAACTGTCAGAGTTTCATTTCTCATCTGCATTAATATCTCATTGTCTACTACCTCTAGGGAGCACTATAAACAAAAACAGTAATTTTGCAACAAAAGTGTTTTCTGTTCTGCAACATAAGTTTCAGAGATATTTTCAAAATGATCCACCATGTAATAAGGCACATTCTTTGGTGGTAAAGTTCCAGAACACAAAACCATTCCAAATTTGCAAACTGCAGAACACAAAATGCCTTCTCTGTTATGGAGTCACCATTTTTGTTTAAGGCACTGCCTCGAAGAAGTAGACAAGACGTTTGAACACAGATGGGAGATGAAACTTGAACAGTTACTCTATTGATTCATGCATTATTCCAAATTAATAAACAATTTAACACTATATAATAATGAGTCTTTTGATATCCTTTCTCGCACCTCAGGAAAATATTAGTCTTACGGCAGAGTCGACCTTTTATTAGAGGTTGTTCGTCTGCCTCGCTATGCAAAACGTTACAGGTCTTCCTTCTGGTGATGGCACAAATAAAATATATAATATATTTTTATTTATTATAATGTTTTGCATGGTGAGGCAGACGAGCAGCCTCTAATAAAAGGTCGACATTGCTGTAAGATTTATTTTCCTGGGTGTAAGAAAGGAGTCGAAAGACTCATTATTGAAATGTAATTATTAAAATAGTCTTAAATTGTTTATTAATTTTACAATTATTGTCCNGCCATTTTGTTATCCCGGCCAACTGATTAAAAAAAGAAAAAATCTACGTTAAGAATTATCGAAACGGAAAATACTTCGGAATTCAAACAAAAAAAAAAAAAAAAAAACAGAATTTCCCTCCCTATAGTAAGATGTAGGTAGGACCTTTAAACCGTAGCTTACACGGGCGAGAAAGGCGAATTTCGGATTACTTATCGGATTAGATAAATAAGGCAAAGCAACACGTAGGCAATCTGCCAAGCGGGATTGCTTCTGGGAGGACTTTCGATGGGAAACCGATCCCTATTTAGGTGGACACGTGAAGAAAGACCGAGAAAACTCCACGTGGTTTTAAAAGCTAGGCCATTCTAGTGGGCCTACACACATACACACACACACACATTTTTGGATTTTTTCCGTGCATTTCGGCAATACAATCTTTTCATTAACTCCTTTGGAGGTATTTGGTATGCACTTATAGTATAAATTAAGCTAAATAATAATAATAAAGCTACGGATTTTACCTTTAAAACTTAATTCCAAAGAGGAGTGCAGTTAGAGAGGAAAAATAAAAAAAAAAGAATCCTGACAGAATGATTCCAAAGTGTTTTTATTTACCTGAGTTTTAAGTAATTAGACCTGTTTGTTTCATTTAAATCTTTACTAAAAAAAAACAACAAAAGATCTGCAAAATATTATAGTATGACAGGAAAAAATTCTATAAAAAAAGAAAGAATTAGAAAAAAAGAAAAAAATACATTTAATTGCTTTATTTTTTTCACAACATCTACCCTTATCCAGTTTCTGTTGACTCAAAATTGACTATCCGCATTGAAACTAGAGATTTTACTTTCCTTTACAGAAATCTAATTTCATTCCTAGCTTGATATAAATTAATAGTGAGAGAGAAACTTCTATCAAACTAAATATTTGACATTTAACAAATTTATGTATACAATAAAAAGAGTATATAAATTACAATAAAAGTAATTAGGCAATAAAAATTTCCGAAGATATTCCGTGTTATCTGTTTGTTAAAAAAAAAAATGAATCCGGTATCCCGGAAAGAAAAATTTCCTTTTGTACTCTTCCGATATTTATACATAAAGTAACTGCTAATTTGTAACTACGCCCACTCTACAGCTAATGAAAAGTGAGTAAAATCAATGAAAACACTTAAAATTCTTACAATTTATAGTTGGTGCTTTTAAGAGCATTTATTTTTTCACAAAAACAGCATTGTTTACAGGAAAAAAATTAAAATATGAGCAGGCTGTTTTCTCTTTTTACTTAATCATTTTGAGAATAAGGTTATTAAAAGCATTCCTAATGTTACCTAATGTATTGTTATATAAGAATAACGCTTATGTTAATAACAAATATGACGCATTTATCAATCTGCGAGGGCTTTGAAAAATGTAAACGCTAATATCAAAGTAACTTATTTTGCCGAATTTGTAGCGGCGGGTTGATCGCTATTTAGTTATATAATTACACAGGCTATGAAGACTAAATAATATTACTAAGGAATTTGGCACGAGGCGGGCCTCTGGGTCGCCTCGTCTTATTAAATGTGATAATAATATATTAATTAATTTCAGAATTATTTAGCCTTAATAGCCTGATAATAGTCTATTCATTTCTTATAAAGTTTTCAATATCATAATTGTTTTTATCTTTGATGGAAAACAACTAGACAATTTTTATTCATAAACTAAAGAATTTCAATGGATAAATCATAATGAAATAAAGTTCTTGAGCAGATGACGTTCGCTGCTTTTAAGGCAAAAATGTTTTCTATCAAATTCTTTCTACAGGAAAATTTGCAGAAAAAACTTTATAGCAGCTTATTTTAGATAATTACATTCTTATTTTTAACAGAGGCTTTAGTTTCCTTTAAAACTTTGACCTTAGAATAGCAGAATAAGATTGTTTAAATTACGAAACATTTAAATACCTATATATTATTGGAATGTGTGTCTCTTTAATCCAAATAAATACAACACGGTAGACTTCCTCTCAGCTATCGGGTTAGGTACTCCTTTATTGCAATTCACAAGTGATTTTGGGCTTATACAATATGCCCGAAATGCATATTTAATACAATTTTAATGCATATTTAATCAGAATAAATATTTATACAATATTTATTCGGATTAAAGAGACATACATTCCAATTGGATATAGCAGCTACCATATCTGACATTTGTGACCTATATATTAATTGAAAGAGGGTTTCGGTATGTCTAACTCAAATCAAGTAAATGGCCTGGGGTTAAAAAGTATGGTTTGGGTAACAAATTAAAGCTCTTATACTGTAAATGATGCTGTCAAAGAGATATCAAGAAAGATGCTACGGTTCCGGCATAGAAAAGTGGCAAAGATACAATGTTACGTCTACGGGACAAATGTGTCGGGGTCTCAAACACCTGAGCAATTTTTTTGTATTTTGTAAATACCAAGGTCAATAAATGTATATTTTAGTTACTAAGACCATTGTTTTTATCGATCTCTCCCAACCCGACCTGGACAATCCCCACCCCTCTAAAGCCCGAGCAACGTCGGACACGTACAGCTAGTGAAGTTTCAAGCATATATTAAAGTTTACTTTTTCATTATCTTCCTGGTTATCTTTATATGATACAAATGATCAGATTTTAAGAAAATATCCAAGATTCAAAATTATAATTACATTAATTAATTGAAAAAAAATTCTACATAATTTCCTCATAAAGTTACTTTTTGTTTGATGATTTGTTGAAACATTTTAAAATCATCCCTAAAAATTAATGTATTCTTTACTTAAAAGCCAATAAACTTAACAATTTACTTAAATATAAAGTTATTGTAACTACCAAAGAACATTTTACACTAACATAAGAACAGAAACATGACTGATGTACAGCAATCAATGAAATTTTAAAATTCCTATGTGATGTGGGCAGTGACTGATAGAGGCCACATGCACAGTGGCAAAAAAGATGGCAGACCATTTGTCTGTTCGGGAGTGAGCACAGATTGCTACACGAGAGGCATGGAAACTGCAGTGTTTGTTGTGGTGCATACATTGAAGAGATGTTATGCTACAATCTGTCCAGAAACATTCGATCACGGGTTCGATGCGGGTGTAGAGAGAGGTGGCCGTCTGTGTCAAAATCTGAGGAAGAGGTGTCGTTAGTAGATAGCATCAGTGCCTATAAGGTATGCATTCATATTTCCATTTAATAGGGTACAGGTCAGATAATTTTCATCACCTGTGTATTAGATATATAGAAGTGATAGTGATTTCTCAATGTCTAGTTACTTTCCACCCACCCTGTACATGAATATATAAAAAGGGTATCTCTCATACAACATGGTTTCACCCTAACATGATTGGAAAATTGAGGTTATCTCCCATATAATATGGTTTCCAGTTTCACTCTAACACTGTTTGAGAATTTGTCCATACAAAATTTCACAATTTTTAAGCGAAAACTCAATTATTCTACTTTTTTAAAAATTCAAGTAAGCACGCATGTCGTCTCATATTTGTCCATGGATTTTACAATATCGAAATTTTCAATTTATTTTTCTGCCTTTTGTCAGATTTACTTTAATTAATGAAGACTGATTGTGCAAATTTTTCCCCTTTGTCCTAGCTTCCTGATCAACCAGGTATTGTTGATGTTGCTTTCATACATTAGCATTTAAATTTAAGACTGTGACCATGTTTTGGTTTTATAGATTAATCTTCGTATTTTGTAAAGTTTATTTAAACATTTTTAGGTGTTATCAAACATTTTTAACCGTAGGTAAGTAATTATTTGTAAAAATGATGAACGAAATACGGCGGTTTGTCGGTACTCAAACTGTTCAATATTCAAGCACAAATTTTGGAAAAACTCACTCATTACGCGACTGAACAAACGAGGGTCCCCTAAAGAAAATTTTCGATTAATAATATATTTTTATTTTGTCATCCATAAAATATTTTATTATAAAAGTAAGAAAAATGAAAACGTTGCCAATATTTCTCATCGAGATGAACAAAAAAATCTCAGAAGGCTTGTAAAAAGAAAATGCCCTTGTTTAACTAAAATTAATGTTAACATGTAGTACAGTACTTTTAATTGTGATTGTTAGTTAATTATTAATTGCTTTAATAAACATATTTCTCTTAGTAACAGAAAAGAACAGTATACTTTGGTAACTTTTGGAACCTAATCCTATGTTTTACATTAGTGTTTTGTTTTGTTTAACATGAATTTGCATAAATTTGGAACGTAACTACATTGTTATACGACAGATACTTATATTATATAATTAAAAAAAAACAAACAAACAATCATGTGACATACATCAAGTGGGCATTGGGCACACATACATGGTTTGTCATCCCTACTACAGAGTAAAATTTTATTCAGAAACACTATTCTATGCTTAATACATATTCAAACTGTCATATTAAAATATTTTTGTTATTTATCTCGAAGTTGCATAAATCTCGACTACATCATTTCAACAAAATAAATAAATTTAACTAAAATAAAACCACTTCTTTAAGTAACCAAACTATTTATAGGTCAGATATGTAGTTACACTGTTCATCAGATATCTTTTGCGTTATGTTATTTCAAAAGAAGGTTTCCAAATAATCAGATTGTAGTCAAAAAAAATAAAATTTTGTATCTTAATTATTATTTCTACATTCTATTCTTTCAAAAACTCACATTTAACAGAAAAAAAACTTAATTATAATTAAACTTACCGTGTATAAACTCCTGTACGTGACGCATATCTGAGTGACAAAAACTGATAATACATAAAAGGTTCCCAAAGACTACCATAGCCACTGTAAAAATTCATAAACTATTAGTAAATTGAAACATAAAATTTAATTTTAATAATAAATACAACTAATCGAACAATTACTTCAAATACCAAATGAACAACTGGATACATTTATTGGGCTATTTAACTCTACATAACTGCTAAGCAATTTGGCAGGAGGGCCTCCAGACTGTCATCTCTCGTTAAATATAATAATTACAAATAAATTAATTGGCAATGAGGTCTAGATAGCTTAACATGCAACTTCACGGAAGCAGCAGTCGAGGGTTCAAGCCTTACTCCGAGCCAGGACAGGCTCAAGAGTTTTTGGCACCAGAGGCAAATCTCAATCGTGGCTTGTCTGCAAGTGCCTACCTTTTACTAGTAGTTGCCTTGTGCATAGAATAAACTGCACACCTGTGTGTGACAACTCTAAATATATACATAATATGTCTGATTATAATAATTGATAAATGTTTTCCTTTAAGTGATGCTGGCTGTGACATCCAAAATATTTGCACCCTAGGTGACTGGCTGTAGGTCAAACTGGCCCTGCTGTGAGCCAATCTTTTCTTCCAGAATATTATATTATTAATTTATTTATTTATAATTATTTTATTTAACAAGAGGTGGTGACCTACCTCCTACCAAACTGCTTAGTAATTATTTAGCCTTAAGAAGCCAATAAAGGAATCCAATCTGGCTGTTTTGGCATTTGAAATTTCATCTATTATAAAAAGAATGGAACATACATGATTTATAAATAAAATCTAGTAATAGTTAAGAGTTTTCAAAGTATTTTAAAATATGTACATCAGCTCCTGGATATTTATTACCTGCATGTAAAGCTCAATCACTTTTTTATAAATTTATACAGATTGAATGATACTTATTCTGTTTCTTTATATTACCACAAGAAAAGATAAACAGTATAAAACTTTCACACATATAAACATCTCTTACTACTTGGTTATAGAAGTAGAAATTGCAAAAAATAAGTTTAATTATTTACAAAACTGTGTTTTAAAATTTATCAAAACACAATATCTATGTAACCTGGACAACACACGATTTCATTCTTCTGCAATGTAAATTCGACACGGTCGCTAGTTCGACAAGCTATGAAATATTGGAATCTAACAAACAGTTACATTAAAGAGATTGCATCAATTAAACAAATCTTTAAAAAAAAACCATTAACAATCTTTGTATTAAAGAAAAAGAATTATATAATAGAATAAACATTTAAAATTAATTTAAAGTTCTAATTTTGTAGTGCGAGATCTTTGATCATGTCCTTTAATTACTGTATTAATTAAGATTGGTGTAGTAGCTAGAATCAAAGAGCATTGATTTTTACCAGAGGGGCTTAGAAGGGTACGGATACCATACGAAAAAAATGTTTTAACTTAAACGTAACCTATGTTAAATAAATAAAGGTCAAGGAATCAAAATGCAGTTTATTCTGATTAAATGAGACATAACACATCTCATTGTCAGACTAAACACTTAAAGTTAACAGATTCAAACATAAAACACAAAAACAAATCTATTAGTTAAACCAAATGAGGTACCAAATTATCAGGCTATTACACGACTAAGTTAAAATTAACACAAGATGTTGGCACAACCTCTTGACAAATTAATTAGTTTCTAATCATTAACTTAGTTATATTCTAGTCCAATAGTTTGGAAGTTTGTTTAGTTATACAGAAAAACAAATTTGAATTGTAAACGAAACAAAATTCTTTAAAATGTAACTCCTAACCTTTTTGGTTTTATTAAAACCCGTAAAGATTCTTGGAACATTAGACTCATTGTGCGAAAAATGTGACACTCCCACTGACAGTTTATATAAAAGACACAACCCTTTACAAGCTCAATAAAAAAGCAAGATTTTCTGTATTAACAATAAAGTCAAATTTATTGAAGCTCTGCATAGATCCAGAAGATTCGATCTAAATGTATGATTAAGAGAAGCTATACTTTTCTGAAACCTGTACTTGTAATAAACTACAGCACTATTACTTTAAAAATGTAGTAAAATTTTTAATTCTCTAACATTTTTAGTCGTCTCAATCGACCTCCTTTAGCAAGAAACAAGTTACAATTCAAAAAGAACGAAAGCTGGAAGGTATTATGGAACAAGTTAATCTGAATATCTTAAGACAACTTGTTTCTTCCTGGAGAAGAAACAAGAAACAATTTATTAAGACAATTGAAAATGTTAGAGAATTAAAAATTTTACTGTATTTTAAAAGGTCTGCGTAGTAGTGCAGCGATTTAAGAGAAGCTATACCCATCCATACATAAAGACTGAGGTGGCTGCCTTATTCCCGAGAGAGCTATTGAAGTTATGGCAATTTAATAATTTTCCTTTTAGAGACCAATCTGAACTTGTGCACGCAATCATCAACCCAAGCATAATTTAAGATTGACGGCAATTTCTACAACAAAGAGTCCTAATTGAATTGGCTTTAGATCATACGGTAGCAGAGCTGGTATTTGTAATGTATCTTAAAGATACAACTTGTACCAGCATTTCAAATAATATCCAATATTATAATAGATATGTAGATGACATGCTAGTTGTAGCAATGGCAACCCAATAGCAGTTATAACCTTTCTAAGCTGGCAACTGTAAAAACAGACAACCGCTTTTCAATCAGATGCGGATGTAAGAAGGTAAATAATTAGCGAATGGTACTTATCACTTGTTTATTGGTACCCTTTATCTAAAATGTTTGGCTGGAGCCATGATCAGAACACTGCTTGCTTGAACTTTCTCTTCACTTCTAATAATCAAATTAATATTTCATTAAAATATAAGACAGTCTGTAACAATAATTCTCATTGAAAATTTGCTATTTTCAATGTGAATCAGTGTTGTCATAACAAGGAATATATGAAAATAAAGAAAAATAAAATACTGGCTAATAAAATAGAATTTGTGTTAAATCGGGTTAAAATGCAATGCAAAAGCATACATTTAACAACTCACATAATATGGCATATGGTGCTACACCAAAGATTTCCCTAATTAGTATTTATGAGGAAGATCTGTTTGCAAGTATTCATTGACATTTTACAAGAATGAAGCTACAGAGAAGTGTGTTATATTCAGTTTTGACAGTATATCTCTACTGCAGCCCAGTCTAAAAGTTTTGTCTATCAGCTGAAAATATACAAAAGTCTGAATTTGGCATACAAGAAATGATTTAGGAATATCAAAGTATCATGTATGAAATAGTGAGTTGTTTGAAGTTCAGGGACTGCCTGTACAGAGAGATTCAAATGTAATCTGTACTAATATATAAAGTGAGAATGTTTGTCCGTTAGTGGTAATCTCAATCTACTGAACTAAATTTTAAAATTCTTTCGTTATTGGAAAGCTTATTCCTTTCAGATGAACCTATACTATTTTCATATTAAAAAAGGAAAACGCATGAGAACAATGCTATTACTGCTGCATTTGTCTCACATCATCATTTGTCTACTCCATTTAATCTCAATCTGTTTCACCACCTCAAGGATTTAAACTTATATTTTTGCAGTTCAGTTGGTTGTGTATATACTTCGTTTATATTGTCTTGGTCATTCGTTTCTTATAACAACACTCTTATGTTGTTCACTTATACTTACAACTATAAAGAGCAAATTTACTTATATGAAAGTAAATTTTTGTAAGTAGTCATATAGCATTTTTATCTGTTTGTTGTTTTACTATTAGTCCTACCATACCATTATTTACAAATATGAATTAGTCTTATGTTATCAGATTCTACCTACATAAATTGAATTCTTTTGATTACTTTTGATTTCATCTTCTGTACAAACTCCCAAACCCTTTGACCAATCTGGACCAAATTCCACATAGTTACTCTCTGGTATCATAGACTACCACCATAAAACTAGGATTTCTCACTCTCAGACTTCATCTCCCTAACCCCAAACTCTTAAACTTTTTGAGTGATCTGGACAAATTTTGCATAGTTAGTCTCTACAATCCTCCAAAAAATATATGCTACTTTATAACATGGATCCTCACTTCCCCCACAAATTTTCAACCAAACCTTTTGACTGATTTGTACCAAATTTAGTTGCTTTCTGCCACCCTACAGTAGACATACACTATCCTATAATGAGTACAACTCAACTCCTTCCGTTCATGAGCAACACTGGGCAAACTTTGCTAGTACTACATAAACAAATAGATTAATTCTGTTGTTGAATCAGAATGATATAAGATTATGAAATTCATCTGTTTAAATTTTACAGATATTTTATACATATTTCAAATCTTTCCTTGATCTAACTTAGAAATTACCAAATTATTATTGGGTTAATTAAAAAGATTGTCTGCTTCTTGAAGATGGTATCCCTGATTTATTGAAGAGAATCCGCATTATACCACCAAAATAAATTGCAGAAGTATTATTTACTGCTCAGATTATTGTTGATCATTTACACAACTAAGGAATGTTAGGATACATATGCTGTGATGTTTAGGTACCACATCAACAGAGTTGAAAAATCTGAGTGACAGAATATCTGCCTGTGATTTACTGATAAAACAACCAAACAAATCTTTTTTTGAACTAACTAATCACCAAAGACAAAAAATGGACTATTTGTGATAATTTACAGTGAAAAGTTCAGGTAGAAAGTCAACTGGCCCCCCTTGCAGCACACTCAAAATCTAAACAAGGTTATGCTGAGCAGATGGCAGGACTATTTCATGTAATTGATGGCATGTTATCCTATGGACAAAAAGAACAATTGCCTGGGGCCCCCACCAACAGGAGACCTCAAACCAATCTTTAATAGCACTAGAGCGTTCTAGAGATTGTAACTTAATCATTGGCAATCAGACCTGTAATCACTGAAGGACTTTAAATCAAACTGAGTAATGTTCTGACTCTAGCAGTGCAACACCCAAAAAAGACCAGTTATCCTCACCTTCATCACACTGCATCAAAACTATTCATCATTCCTACAGTTTTATGTGACCTGTTCTGCTTTCATTTCTGTAACTATATAAGAGAGGGGGAAAAATAATACAAAAAATTTTTCTTGTGAATAATTTAATAATTAGGCAAAATGCAAAATATGTATGGTACAAAAAAGTTTCATGTATTAGGATGTGGAAACACTCCTCATCCCTGCCACTGAAGAAATTCAGTCACCCGGTCAGCAAAAAAAGACACTAGTCAGGGTATTTTGGAAATGCATTCTCCTGATGGACTTTCTTCCAACTGGAACCACTACGAAACCACAACCTACACTAATACATTGACAAAATTGTGTCATTCCCATTATGTCTAATGTTCCAGCACAGATAGTGTAAATGTCAGGTTGTTTCACAATAATAATCATCCTCATTTTGTAACTACTATTTGTGCTGAAACTGTGCAATTTACCCGAGAGCACCATCATCTACCCTAAAATCCAGACCTGGCCTCTCTAAACTTTCATCCATTTGGCCCCATGAAAAATTCCTAGGTGAGCAAAACCTCGAATTGAATAACAAAGTGAAACTGATCCTGTGAGTTAGACCATATATCCAGAAAACAGTGTTTTATTTGATAATAAAACTGATGCCGAGATGAGAGAAATGTCTCATGTCGAAAAATTTTTTGTTTGAAAGGACAGTTCTGTGTTTTTTGTCTTTGATAGGCCTCAGACGATTAAAAGTACCGTATTTACCTGATTGCAAGCCAACCTTCTTTTCTTTAAATTTTTTCATGCTTAAAAAAAATCCCTCAGCTTAGAATCAGTATCATTAATACAGTCGGTAAAGTAGGTAATGCCATTACTGATATAATCAAAAGTTCGGAAAAATATTGTCAGAAGCCACCAGAGGTAAGTTTTCATGAATTTTGTATGCACTAAAGGAAAAATCATTGCTGGTGTGTTTAAAACATGTTCAATCTCAAATGCACTCGACAGCACAGACGATAATGCTCTGTAGGAAGACGACGACAAAGAATCAAGAGATGACAAATCCGAGTCTAATGACGGCAACTGAATAATTAAACAGTGTAAAATTTATTCCTTATGCTTGATTAATAAATTTTCATTTTCCCGGGGTTGGCTTACCATCAGTGTCAGCTTATAATAGAATAAATACAGTACTTGGGACTGCACATAAGAACTATTTTAATTTAATTTTCTCCGTTAAAATAATTTTAAATGTGTTCTATAAGCTATTAAAAGCGTTTTTATTTAAAGCCTTTCTTTTCTGTTTGTGAAGCATAATAATTTATAAAAACTGAATATAATATGAATAAATTCCAGAAACTGCTACTATATTTTAAATATATTAAATAATAAATTTTCTTTAACCGTAATAAAATTCTTATTAATATGTTTTAAATCGTAATAATAAATAAAACTTACGTTAATAACATGACAATGGAAAGTGGCATGATGAGTACTTCGGCCCAAGCAACCAGAGTCAATATGTAAATTTCGTGATGTTCATTTATACTTCTGAAAAAGTTTCCAATTGTTGACGTGCCTTCTCCTAATTTCTATAGAAAAGTAATAATAATTAGATTCAATAAAAAATTAATATATAATTTATTTCCAAGCTATCTTATATAGCATCAAAGCTTCAAAAAGTTTGCAGAAAGTTTAAAAATTATATTAGAATACTATATAATGAACATCTTTAGAACAAATGCAATTATTCAATAGAAATTACAGAAAAAAAAAAAAAGAATGCTGTTTTTATTGGTCTTAAATCTGAATTCTTTTTCTTCTTTCACTTTTACACTTTCTACTGCTCTGTTGGCACTAAGAGGACCTTTTCTTCATTCTCATTAAGGATTCAACAACACCTGCAGTGTGCAACTAGTGACAGAATGTTTTAATATGGTAACTTTTAACTTGATACAGATTCTTTCATCACACATCATCACCCAGGCAAATTTGAATTAGGAGCTCCATGAACAGTGTTGACTTCAAACATTTTTGTTTGAGAATTTTGGGGATATTTTCCCCCTGGTATCCTCATTTGTTTTTTTATGCAGCCTCTGCGCTGTGCCAGTACCACACCAGCAATCTAGGATCCTAGATTACTGGTGTGGTGCAGGCACAGGGTGCACTGACACGGCGCAGAGGTTGCGTCTATCTATATTACAGACAGATAGGTGCAATCTCTGCACTGGATATTAGCTTAGAGGTCCTATCTATATTAGTTTATTAAAAGCAGTTATTAGCATTTACAATTTTTTCTTTAAAACTCATCCCTACCCCAAAAATAAGGTTTTAGCCCTTTTTATAACCTTTATAAATTCTCAACTTCCTTTCCAGTCCTCTTAAACTCCTGTTCAAGTACAGAGAAAGTCACGAAAGAGTCCTTGCCAGCTGTTTTAAACTTCAAACATTTTGTATTCAAAGCATTTAGGATACATTTTACTATGATACAATAAACTTCCAACAGATAAATTAAAACAGTAATTTTTTCTAGAAATTAACTTTTAAAATATGCAAATTTTCTGTTATGTTATATATTATTTTAATAATTAGTTTACATTATTATCTGATGTTTCGTTAATAAATGTACGATTAAACATATGTTTACATTCATAAATTTCATACTTTAAATACAAATAAATTTCTTACACTGTAATCAAATTTGAGTTAGAATAATATAAAGATAAAAAATACATTTTGGTGATATACTTACATTTAATATTTCAAGACTATATTGAGAACAACTCCACAAATTATATAACACTAACGATATTAAAACAACTGTTATTTTGTTAAGAAGAAATCATTAATTCATTAAACAAACTGTAGAACAATACAAATATTAAAGCAAATTATTGAAATACTGTTTCAAAAATGTTAATTACATTGATAATGCTCGTCTTTTTTGTTTTAATCTCTTCGGGAATAGTCCCTGTTAAAATTTTATAAACATTTTCATTGTTTTATGCAGAGACTAAAGTGCAACAGCTGAAAAACAATATTTCTAACAGAAATATATATTAATATCAAGGACTACTTTTCAGCTGTAATGCACCATTATGCTGTACATGCAGACAGAACAAAAAGTATTAATAGTGTGTAGTACTGACAGGTAGAATAAAAACAAATAAAATTAAATGGGTTACTCTATTGGTCACAACAAAGCTGATTGGAGCCAATGTAAAAAACAAAATGACTGAGGATGTTTCCTTTTATCGAAGGCCATCTTTCAATGAACAGACAATACACTCTGACAACTGTCTGTTCCCACTTGTTGAATTTTTCATACGTTAAATATTTAAAGTCTGATAAGACCTTAAATTTGTTTATATTTGATTAAGTTAAACATTAAAATATCCAAGTACTTTCTATCTAAAATCATGATTAAAGTCATTGTAAAGTCTGCTACTGTAGATGTTATGTTTTAAATAAGATAAATGTGTTATTTTCAAAAATTCTATAGTAAATTCCATATATTTGTAAAGAAGAAAAAATTGTGTATCTATAATTGCTGTAAAGAAGCACTCTAAGACATTACTAGTAAAAAATATTATATAGTAAACCTCACTAACTTGGTCTCTGAATAACTTGAACAAATTTTTTCAAAGAATTGTACAGTAATTTAAAATTTCTTGATAATAAAAAAATTATAACTAATGAGTAATTTCAACATCCAGAAGTATTTGCAATACTGTGCATTATACTACTATAGTCAGTAAATTAATAGACTTACTAAAGACTGTACAATACTGTATATTGTACTGTCATGAAATTGAGCTCATTTCTTGTAATAATTAAGCAGAATAATCTACAAAAGTTCTGCAAAACTTCAGTATAAAGCTGATTGTAATAAATTACTGTACTGTATATCCAACTCCTTATTTTACATGTTTTTGAAGAAAATACCTGCTAACTTGAACTTTCGTAAATTCACACGACTTCCCCCCATATTAGTCCGAGTTAGAAGAGGTTTACTGTATTTAATAACTTATATTTTAAAAAATTTGTAATTAATAATAATAAAATATACATTGCTATATACTGTAATTGTGTTAATTATTATTGGAGAATTATGCAATATACACTAATCGATACAGTAACTGTCAGAGTTTCATCTCTCATCTGCATTAATATCTCATTGTCTACTACCTCTAGGGAGCACTATAAACAAAAACAGTAATTTTGCAACAAAAGTGTTTTCTGTTCTGCAACATAAGTTTCAGAGATATTTTCAAAATGATCCACCATGTAATAAGGCACATTCTTTGGTGGTAAAGTTCCAGAACACAAAACCATTCCAAATTTGCAAACTGCAGAACACAAAATGCCTTCTCTGTTATGGAGTCACCATTTTTGTTTAAGGCACTGCCTCGAAGAAGTAGACAAGACGTTTGAACACAGATGGGAGATGAAACTTGAACAGTTACTCTATTGATTCATGCATTATTCCAAATTAATAAACAATTTAACACTATATAATAATGAGTCTTTTGATATCCTTTCTCGCACCTCAGGAAAATATTAGTCTTACGGCAGAGTCGACCTTTTATTAGAGGTTGTTCGTCTGCCTCGCTATGCAAAACGTTACAGGTCTTCCTTCTGGTGATGGCACAAATAAAATATATAATATATTTTTATTTATTATAATGTTTTGCATGGTGAGGCAGACGAGCAGCCTCTAATAAAAGGTCGACATTGCTGTAAGATTTATTTTCCTGGGTGTAAGAAAGGAGTCGAAAGACTCATTATTGAAATGTAATTATTAAAATAGTCTTAAATTGTTTATTAATTTTACAATTATTGTCCTGGCAATTTTATCAAAACTTGTTTATTTCTTGGATAATAATTAACATAATTACAGTATCTCATTTTGAAAGACGGTGTATTATGAATTTGTAAAATTTCAAATAATTTTATTTTAAAAGGATACGAATAGAATGATGAGAAAATAAGAAAGTCAACGAAAACAACAAATAATGAAAACAATCATCCATAAGTAAAAGGTTAAAGAAGTCTTCACTCAAATGTACATTCTGTAAATTTTGATGAAGACATAAAGAACAGGCCGCTGCATTACATAGTAATGATCTCTTGTAACATCCCCAGGGATTACCACTGAAATTAAAAAAATAAAAACTTAATAACTGTATTTTAAATGTTTCAAGTTTATTAATTGTAATAATGTTAATAACATTTCTTTATTTAATATTGAAAATATAAATAAATAAAACTTTCATTTGCAAATATTTTTCAGAAACAAGATAATTTTTATTTTTTTTCTTCTTAAACAACAAACATCTAACTAAATAAGAGATTTTCAGGCTTTAAGAATACTTAATGCACAAGAAGATTTGATTAGAGGTAAGCACTTGGCTGCTATCTTTGTAGAATACTAAATGTTAGTCACTTTTATAACCATTTAAAAGGATTTTATTGGGCAAATAAACCGAAATGTTATGTCATTCGAATCCGACACTCACTCGAGTTTAAGAACTAGACATTAGAAATTAAAATTTAATTTTTGATTATTACTATTGTATTTTATTTATAGTGTGTATACTACTCAGTTGATACTAATGCCTAGTACTATGCAAGACCAAAATCAAAGCATATTTTTGTGCTTGAATTTTCTTACCGTGTGAAATGTGTTTAATGTGGCTGTTTTCTGTAATGTGAAGAATGTGCAGTTATTCAGACCTAGCACTTCCAGACTTTTGTGGCATGACTTCTGTAGTATTCAAAATACTACAAAAGTAGTAGGTATCTCTCCATTTTCTACATTTACTTTATTTAATTGGCAAATTCTGAGTATTTAACTTATTAGTTTATATATTTCCTATGTTATAATGGATATGTCTATCATATCTATTAATTAAATATTAATTTTTATTCAAATAAAATAAATGTTTAGTCGCATGGAAAAGAAAAAATTATACTTACATAATCATTGCAAATGGACAAAATAAAAAGAAAATTACAGTGCCAACTCTTGTCAACCAGACGGTAGCATCAATTTTCGAATTAAACATGTGATCCTAAAATGAATACAAATTAATTGCAAATAAAATAATAATTCGTGAACTATTTCAGTATAAATTTAAACAAATTTTGTCAAATAGGAATAAATACTTTAATAAAACTACAGATCTAATTTGTTTTAAATTACAATATCATTAATTAATTTACAGCTTTACTTACTACAGACTGTCCAAAAAGTTATTATGCAGTAGAAAAGATTTAAATGAAGCTCTTCGGCATAATAATCTCAAGAACATTCTCTTCCAAACTTGATGGCCTACCAGTTTCGGGAGTGTCTGCAACACTGCCGATAACTTACAGGTCCAGTCATTAAACTTATACACAAGGCATTGTATGCAATGCTTTATTAGAACTTTAAGGTCATTACAAATTTCTCATTGCACGGTAACTTTTTGGACATCCTCTATAATACTGTATATAATTTGTTTGTGTCATAGTAATTGTATATTCAAAAAAAATTAATTTTTTTAAACACTTACCAGTTAATAATTTTCCTAAATAATACAAAATTTCATCAATAAATAATACAAAAATTAACCTAAGTTTGTTTTTCTGAAATATCGGAAAAAACATATTATAACCAATGCTCAATTTTGAAAAAATGACTAAATATAAAACTTCAAATACATTTTTACATGCAACAAAATGAAACGAATTAAAACTGTTTATTCTTATTAAAAATTCAATATGACGGAGTTTCCGTTATCAATACTTATTCAAAGTTCCTCATTTCCTCTGCATTTTCAAATATTCATAATAATTATGTTACCATCGGTAGCAAGGGTAGCAGATCGCTGGATGGCCAAGGGTTTAAGGTTCTGGCCTATCATTCCGGAAGACCCAAAAACAAATCCGAGCTATCAAAAAATCTCTGAGAATTCTTCACAAATAGTCTAACCCGAACATGTTGGACCTCGTCCCTTGCCACCCTGCCATCACATTATGGACCTGGCAAACCTACAACAAATGTGGAAAAAACTTGAACCTGTCTACTTGTTTGTCTATTTAATTGAAATTGTGTGCTTGCTACTATAGAACTGTAGTAGCAAGCACACATGCCCAATTAAATAGCACAAAAGTTTTATTAAGAAACATGCATACATGAACAATACCAATAATTTACAAGTACAACAGTCTTTCTTTTTCTCCCCTTTAACTCTTTGTCCTATAGGCAGTAAGAGGGTCTTTTTTTCTTTAGCAATCCCATTATGAGTTTGGCCAGACCCAAAATGAGATGGCTGGGTGATGAGAGAGATCAAGTGTTACACTGCCACTCTTGCAAGTTGTTTCTCTCCTATAACGATCGAGATTTTTCTGATGTTCCCATGCTCGGAATACGGAATTAATTGAACTACTCCAAGGAACAAAATATGGAATGCCTCAAATAGAAATCTTAGTAGTAAAGAAAGCAAAATTGCAATTCAGATATAAATCAGATTAATTTTATTTTAACAACTGTTCTGTACTTAGTGTATATAACCAAAGTGACATAATTAAAGCAAAAATGCAATCGTCTATCTTTATTATACATTAAAATATTACGAAAATGTACTCAAACTGTACTTTTCTTTTTGCTTGCATATCTTAATTATAAAAAGAAGACAAGCAATTTTCTAAATACTAAGGAATAAGTCAATAAATTTAAAGATTAAGAAGACAACAAAGAACGTCACGCACAAAACAATTATCGGATGTTAACATTTTTGATAAGTGATGTAGATTATTGACTCTTGTCAGTGCATAAAACTTTTAATGAATCATATGATCACAATACCATCCGATAAGTAAACGTGATTATTTGCGGTTGATAAGTTTATCAAGAAAAGATGATTGAACCACAAGCATTGTTGCTATAGGAAAAAAAAAAACAGAGAAGAAAATGGATATTTAGAGATTGATCTTGTCTTTATCATTAGTCTGATGAAATATTTTCTTTATGTAAAAAATTAAGAGCTGATATCCAACAAACAACATGATAAAAATAATATAGAAATATATTTTAAACATTAAATAAAGTTTTATAATTGAGAACTTTTTGTATTTTCATAAAAATTACGTATATTTGAATAACATTCAAACATATCTAGGATTATATCTTGGTTGGATTTAGGGTTTTGTGGCACAAGGGCCTAGGTAGGCCAAAAACTGCCAACTATGTTGCCGTATGCCCTGTTGAAACGTCATAGTTAAACATTATATCTATGACACATTAATAAATTGTACTTTATACTAGAGTGGTGTTAACTAGAAATTCATACACAAATAAATGATTATTGTCCTCTTAATTTCATAGACTCTTCTTTATTCTTCTGAACAAATGCATGCATTTCAGTTTACATATTCATTTACTCAGAAAAATCATTTTCAATTTGATATAATGAGAATAAGAATTACTTGTACAATTTTGTATGGGAATGAAGAAAATAGATGAAGTAACGAACACTGATAGATGATGTCAACAGATATCAAATACGGTTAAAGGTTTTATGCACTTCATTTAATGAAAATTGTTAAGTGTTCGCATCATTTACCACACGGTAGCTTAATGATGATGTTAGTTTGTGCATGCTGATCAACTACACTGAAAAGTAATGAAAAATTGTATAAAAATGACCTCTTTGTCAGAATAATATTCGAGATGTTATAATGTAACATGAGTTGAAATTTAAAATAGAATAAAATTAAATTATTTATATATACATATGTATATACATAAGTGAATTTAACATTAAGCAGCATTAAAGTGGAAAAAGAGCCATTAAACAACAAAAATGCAGAAATTATATGAAAATTTTAAAATAATTCAATTCTAAACCTCTGCATCAACAATTACACTGAAATTCCAACAAGATAAAAGTTAGAAAATGTTATGTATAAGATTTTATTATTTAAATACAACAAAAAAAATCTTTAAAAGATGCTCTGCTGAAAACATTATACTGGAAATAATGAAAATAAGAGTACTGTTAATTACTACAGTCAAAAAGATAATGAAGATGTGTTTATTCTCATAGCATATACCAGGGCTGGCCAAATCTTGTCACAACAGGAGCCATATATTGTCAATCAGAAATACAAGAGTCATGTTCCCTATTAAAACTGCATTTTATATAATGTATATGTATTCCTGTACATTTAATTATTATAATTAAATATATGAGAATCCAGTGGCATGCCATCATTGGAAGTGGTGGATGTGCCGCTTCCCTTGTATTTTCTAAAAAATAAATACATATTAATTTTAATTATATGAAAATAATTGCACAATATTTTATTATAACCACATTATGTATCTTATTACAAATTTCTATACTACACGTGAAAAAAAAGATAAGATTGTATATTCGAATATTAGTGGCAGAATGGAAGCGCTGTATTGTCAGTATCCAAAAAGCCAGATTCATGCATGCGCTTTACACTTTACTTTATTTATTTTACTTTATTTAAAGAATAGAAGAGCTGTCTGTCATTTAGCGGCAGACTTTGCTCTATAGAGATGGAAAGAGAAGGTAAGGAAAAAGAGACCGAATGTGAAATAACGGGAGATAGGGGAGTGTGAAGGAAGACATGGAGAAGGGGGGGAGAAGCGGGGATTGTTAGAGAGTATAAAGTTTAGAAAGGAAGGTAAATTTGCGATCATACAGCGACTTATACCGTATTTGTTTAGAATATAAATAGAGATACAGAACAGGCGCCGTTTTGGCAGCCGATGATAACAATATACATACTGATAGATATGGTACATGTTGATACACTGATGGAACAGATGTAGACATACAAATCAGACGAGTAGAGATGTGCAAAGAGAATCCCGATGGGGGGTCCGGTAAAATGGTATTGGACAAGCCAAACAAACAAACAACTTTAACCATTAACTAGACATAGAATACCCTACAGCTGTTAGACACAATTCCAATAACACAGTCACAGGACGGCTAGAGCCACATGTGGTGGAGCATGCGCTTTACAGAGCACCAACGTCACCCGGTTTAGCCGGTGGAAGCCTAGGACCTTGGGTGAATGCTACACGTATACCGCATCTAATTCTATCCAGGACCAGTTCTGGGCTGTCAGTTGCCTGCCCGCTAGATATTTGTCTGCCTTTGCCCGATTATGCGAATCACGAGTAGATTTATAACTTAATCCAACAGATAAGAATTTACTAGTATGTTTTTATGATAGTTCTGTATAGTTGACAGGAGTTTAAAAAATCATTAAAATATTTGATATTTTTATTCCGCTCACCAATTTTATATTACTCATGGATTTCAATGTTAAACTGGTGATATTACGATTTCGTATGTCCCATCTATAAGGGGATGTAGAAAAAATGTGTACAATTCTTGTATAATGTTAAAAACTTAACTGTTACTTTGACAGCATCATTTACAACTAAATTTAATGAATGAGAGAGATGCACAAGGTACAGAAAAAGCTCTAGAATTTATTTTCCTTAAATTTACAATTTATGTATCTGTTTGTCATAAAGATTTGTCTTTCCACTTTTTTCCCAAGACTATAAATATTCAAGTACAAAGTAACCAGTTCTACTTAAGAAGTAGTTAAATAATTAAGCGATTAGGGAATTGGGAACATAAACAAAACCGTGACGAAAGAGCCGAAATTTTACTTAAACAAAAGCTTAACCAAACCATCTCTAGCACAGTGGAGACTGATTTCTTCATATTATTAATGTAATAAAGACAGAAATTTTTCCAGTTCAATGAGAGTGACCAAGTTGTAAATTTTGGAAATTTCCACGGACAACGCCTGGTCCTAAAACGAATTAGTTCAAAAAGAAATGACAGACAATCTATTAAGTTTAACATATTTAGATTTTTACAGCTATGGTGAGAAACGTTTAAAATCTACAACAGCCCTGTCGCATCCTTTGAGATATACTAGTAATGCGACAAAAGAGGTATTTGACATTGACCGGTATCGGCACCCTGGGGATTTGGCAGTCCGCGTGTATGCACGCTCTGCAACCGTCTTCGATTCCATCCACTCGTAGAGAGCTATTTGACTATGTGCAATGTTTTAAGATTTAAAAAGAAAAGAATATTTTATATTTTTATGTACATTTCTTTACAAAGCTATATTTAATTATAATTTTCTTTAAAAGTATATTCATACAATTGAAGAATACCAGGTATGTACCGGTACATCCACCACACATTTTATTTCACCAAGTAAGTTTTTATTATTTTATTTTTAATTGTAGCCCTTATATCGTGACTAGCGATTCAGAATGTAATTGTGATATTAAAAATGCATTTAGAGAAGTCTACGGTTTTTACTGACTTATCGAATAAATGATACGAATGGACCCTAGACTATCATCGACGCGCAATTGACTGATTGCCCCTGGATGTCGGCTTCTTACAGAAACACAGCTTCCCTATCATCAAATGTCACGGCATGCCACTGAACCACAGTAATGGTCTAGAAGAGTCTGACGTGGCTTGCAAACTGCAGTTTGGCCATTATGAGCTTATACCAAATACAATTCAATAGCTTTAAAATTCAGTTATTTTGATGTTTATGCACAAATGAAACAATTTATACATTTATATAGTTCAAATGTTCCCAATATATTAGTCCTATCATCAACATAAACAAAAAAAACCAAATTTTAAAATTATTACACAAAGATATTTAATGATCAGCATTTAACTCTAATCAAAATTTCCTACAGTGAGATATATTATAGGAAAATTATGATCAAACTTATATATAATGACAAACATCATCATTTAAAAAATTAAAGATTCATGTTATATATTACACAAACTTTTAATTTCTTAATAGTTAAATGAATTTCATACATATATAAAAAGTGTATTCAACTATTAATTATAAATTTATTGATAAATCTTATTAAATTTATAATGTAGTATTTTTTATCTATTAAAAACTAAAGTTCCATACTAAAATGACAACAACAGAGAAAGGAATCCTGCGGAAGTTCTTTATTACTGTTGTATTTATATATTTAAACACATTGCACGACTCTGCGGGATGCAAAAGTATAACACAAGAATCAATTAAGGAGTCCAAGTTTTAATTCAGATTAAATGTTTTTTTCAAGCCAACACATACATAAATTCAAAAGAATGTTTAAGATGCATTCTAAAGCCTATGAGTATTTGGAATTTTAAAATATTCTTTTAAAAGTTTCAACATGTAATAAACAGAAGGATTTATGAGATGTGTTGTCTCAGAAATCATTTAATCTACATTTAACTCTGGACGCCTTAATTGTGTTTATATATTTATAGAACTGTTCTATATACTATTTCAAATAAAAACAAACTATACCACTACAGCTATGCACCACTTAATGATAGCAGTCTCATAAGATTATAATAGAACTGAAAAAATTTATAGTTGCCTATACCGTTTCTATTTTTAGATATGTTTAGATATGTGTACTTAAGACCTATATAAGTAGAGACTATACCATAGAGAATTGTACAAGTATCCACTACAATTTTCAGTTAATAATGTATTCTTGAAACATATCCCCGTTGTTAAATGGTACATACTAGTATAAAATTCAAATAATTTCAGTAATGTCCAAATAACATATAGACTAGGACTTTTATAATCAGGATTTTAAATTCAGAGATTTAATCTTCTTTTTTTAACCCGAAAACTAGCTAGAAATTATTTATCAGGATATAAGCATTAATGGATTTCAAATTAATTTCTTTAAAAATGATTTTTAAGAAATAAAGATTTTTAGTAGTATACAGAATAAAAATAAAGAGACTAAGATGAAGTCATTGAGTTTATGAAATCTCTACTGTAATTGCTGTTACAATTGGATTATATTAGATACATCCCACTATGCATCAGTCTCAGCCACAATCAATGCACTGGTGAACAGTTTAATAAGATTTTACTGGAAAGTCTGGTAATCTTACAAGATGACAGAAGCAAACAGCTCTATATTTGCATTTTTGGACTTATTCTGTCAAAATAACTTTGGGTTAATACAAGGGGTGTTCATAAAGTATCGGACCTTTGGTCGGCAAAAATACATTTATTGATTTTGAGGTACAAAACCCTAATTCCCTTCAAAGTAATGTATACATTTCTCCCAGTGCTCCTGCCATTGCTGGAAACACTGCTGGAACACATCTTTTGGAATGGCCATCAGCCAGTCCATCGCATTCCGCATGATGTCTTCTCTTGACTAAAATCGGGTTCCTTTTAGCGGCATTTTCAGCTTGGGAAATAGCCAAAAGTCACATGGAGCACGACGAACTACAGGAATGTTGTGTTTGGTGACGAAAGTCCGAATCAGATGTGCAGAATGGGCGGGTGCGTTATCATAATGGAGCTGCCAAGTTTTGGTTGACCACAGATCCAGTTATTTGCATCGCACAGCATCACAAAGACGACGAAGGACCTCCTGGTAGTACTCCTTTGCGATGGTTTGGCCTTGTGGTGCGTACTCACAATTCACCACCCCATGGGAGTCGAAAAAACTGTCAACGTGACCTTGACATTGCTGCAGACCTGCCGCACTTTCTTTGGCCTAGAGGGTCGTCCCCCAAAGCCTGCTGAATCTTGCGAATGATTTCTGCTTGGATATCGCCAAGCTTTTTCCAAAATTTGATGCAATATCGCTGCTCACATTGTTCAGTCATTTTCCAACTTAGTGGAATCCGACAAGCGCTCACTACATGTCCTCACTCATAGGCTGACTGCCAGTGACTGATGCTTCCTACAGGCAGGTAAAAATTCAGGACTGCGCACGACTGTCCCCTCCACAACTCCACCGAAAGAGACCTCCCGTGCATCATTGGTTTACGTGGGAAAAATAAAGGTCCGATAACTTTTGAACACCCCTCGTACAGATGAGTAATAAAAATGGTGCTAATAATAATAATAATAATAATAATATAACCACAAAGGTGGTCATATTTCTTCATCAGGATTCACCGTATCCACAACCTGACGAGTGAAATGTGCATCAGCCACTGCAACTGATGCAGAGGAGGAAGTTTGCCAAAAGTATAACAGTACATGGATTCCCCTGACAGTAAAGAAATTATGTTAAAATGTTCTTCAAAATTTTCAAACAATTTATTCACCTGATTAGTATGCATATTTATAGGAAAAAATTCATATACTACTAATACCACTAAAAAGTCCATGTAGATAACATCTCTACCCCTCTCTCCCCATTGTGTACAAAGATGTACAGTACTGTACTTTTAGCACTTCCTTTCCTTCTTAAACTGCACATGTAATTAACAGATGGCCCTATATAGACATTGAAAGAAATTATCATGTTAGCATCTTTAATTTTAAAATGAAAATAATGCAGACATAGCTATAATTAGCATGTTCATTTATCACACAGTTTAAAAATTAAACAAAACCAATGTATACAAAGATTTCTAGATTTTTATAATTCTGAATACAAAAAATGATCTTAATGCTTGAATTTTGTTAGTACTGTATTTATATTTTTATGTTGACAATAGTTGAGATTTTATTTCAAAATTCTCACAAAATTATATTATTAAATAATTAAAATATTAGCTAAAAAGAAAGAATAGAATAATATAATAAAAATTTTATTTTACATACCAACACAGCCTGCAAACCTTCATTGTTCCTTTGCTGGTTACCATCATCAGCTACATTCATGATGAACTTTTGAATCTAATTAAAAATAAAAAATACCTGTCAAAGTTAATTTCTTTTAATTACAAAGAATAATTAAGTTTTAATTAATCTATAATGGATACACACAACTATCCCTAAGCTGAAACAAACCTTTATAAGTATTATCAATTAAATGCAAAAACATTTAAAAATAGCATTCTATTCTAATCGGTCAAGAGCTATTGATAACTATAAAGTGATATGTATATATGATATCCATTTTCATATTTACATATATCATATTTACTCTAAGTGTAATAATATTCAGCTATTGCATTTAGTTTTAACTGCATCGCTGTGTATTTTATTCAATGATAAAATGTTTAAAAAGCAACAAAAGCTTTGCAATGTGCGGAAAATATAATTTATTTTATGTTGGCCATCCAACGGATAAGAATTAAACATGTTAAACGGTTATCAATAATAAGAAGATAAGAGAACAGAATTTGTCATTGTCAGTTTTATTTATTTATTATTATGCAATTTAAAAATGCATAAAGGAGAGTTATTAGCATAATATTTTCCGTTACAAATTGTGTACTCGGAATAGATAGATTTATTATATGCAGTGACATGTTTTAGTTATCAAAATGACATGTCCTTGTTGAATCAATCACAAACAGCATATTTAATATCTCTGTCACAAGAGAAAATATTCGAAAATAATAGTTTTAAAGCAAGAAAAGAATGAAAATGATTGTTAAATCCATTATACAGAAAGATGTCCAGTATTTTCCAATACATTTTCTGCAAAAAATTTGGAATCTTCCGAACTTCAAGCAATCAAGCATTGTCGTAAGAAGATTACTACGTTGAACTGCCATATTTGTGCCCTTCCATGGGCACAAATATGGCAGTTCATCGTAGTTCAACTGTCAATCATATCTGTTCCCCAAATGACTAAAACACCATTGTACATACAAAATTTAAACATTTAAAATTTTAATAAATTTGGCATTATGTTTCCTAACTAGTCTAAAGTTTGGCTAAGCATAGGACCATCATTATTCCCATAAGTTTTATCATTATTCATAAATGTCTGTGCCAAATACAATGTCACACAATAGAAAACTTTCGTTGGCTGATTAAAAAAATGTAAGACAAAAATCAATACCTTATCAGTTTGCATGTTCTATCCAGCAGTTGGTATACCTTTTACTAAAGGTGGGTGAAAACCGAATTTAATATTAGTAACAGCAAATTGCAGGTCAAATATTTAATTTGAATAATTTCAAAAAAGTACACTATATATATGAAAATATTTATAAAATGATATGTGTTTCCATTACAATGGAGAAACTGTTGTTCATGATAACTTTTCTGAGGTTCATAATTAATGGCTTTAAGGCTTAACAGTAGCTTTATGGCACTGCTTTCGCACTAAATATGCAAAGTTTTAAAATCTATCAAATATTTTTATAATTTATAAGAACTTAATACTTTCTAAACATTCAATGAAATTGATATATGGTTTGCCATGCTGTTCTATACCATAATAAATGAGTCTACAATCTTTGACTTAGTCTCACACTAATGGACAATTTATATATATTGCAAATCAATAATTTTCACAAAACATTTCCTAAAATACAGAGAAATCAACAATTTCTATTTAAACTTCCAATAAAAACAAATGCAATCTCTGATGTAAAATATTTGTTCATATTAATCGATACATATGTCTTTCAAATATATCTAGCTAAAATGCTATATATTTTCTTAAAATATTCATAATTTTCATGCTTGTACACTTTATTTTCATTTTAAGTTTTCATATTAAAGCTCCCAATCTTACTTAACCTTTCATTTGTTTCATTATAAACTCCATTCATTTAACTTAACAGAATTAATCTTGAAATGTCTCTCTTCTGTTGTATATATAAAACATGGTTTATCAAAAAAATAAGATTGAAATAAGAATAAAGAGCAATTTTATTTTTAAATATATTATTTTATATCAATAAATAATTCTAAGTTTATTTTAGTGAGTCAATCATACCAAAGTTGTTATAAGTTGTCAATCATAGCCGTTAAAGAAAAAAATCATTTCAAAGCATACTCAAAGATGAGGACATTTAATCCATCACAACAAACTATTTATAACCCAATAAAAATACAATTTTAGAGTTTTATTATACAAATACATCAAATATATAATAAAACTTATTCTTCTAAATCTAAATGGTCACCATTAAGAAGTTACTTGCCAACTCACATACTGAAAAAACCACTAACTCCTATTTACAACAAGAACATATCAAACATCTATTTGGTCTTTCCACAATTTATTTATTTTTAATTTCATATGGTATCTTTTCCAGCCGACACCTTTCATTGCAAGAATTTCACTCACAAATTACTTCCATTTTAAAATTTTAAATACATGTAAAATGCACTGAAGTTGCATGATAGTTTCTTTTATTTTATATAACATTTTTTAACCTTTGCTAACAATTTTTTTCTGTAAGATGATAAAATAGATATTTTATACATGGTATTTTAATTATTAAATAATACCTATATTTATTTGTTAAAATTATGTATTTTTAATTTTGTTTCCATTATTTAATTATACGAGGCGATTTGCTCGGGACCGAACACTTATATAAGAATTGGACATCCGAAGAAATGGGCACTCGTCCTCCCGGAATAGAGTAAAAATTTCCAAATTGTAATCGTAAAAGTGATCGGGATAAGTAACGTCGCACGCTCGAACACACACACCATCCGTCTTTCTTTACGAATGCAATACCGTACTGTATAAACTGTATCGATACAATACCATAATGTACCAAAAAAAATTAAATAATTAAATATATAAGAATTTATTGACATAATTATTTAACTTCAAGCTTCGTCCTCCCCTAGAAAATTTTCTGCAAACACCCACAACGTGGATTATCTCCACATAAAACGAAAAGCCCAGCACAAAAAACGAACAGAACAATTCTTCATTTCACCACGAAGCAGTCGACCAAGGTACAGCACGTCTTACATTACGTTATTCAAATGCGACTGCGAAATCACGAGGTATCGAGCAAATTATTCGGTCCAAAACAAATTCACCCCGTACAAAGTAAACATATTTTATCATATTATTCGCCCTATATATGGTACCTTAACAGAATAATTTAAAAATTAACACAGGAAAAGAGTATTCTCCTACAATTAGTGGAAGTTGTTAACATTCTAGCGACAGGAAAAAAAAGGTGAAATTAACGAAAACACCAGTTTATTACTTCGCATTTATCAATCCCTACTTTTCATTAATAATCTCAAGAGGTTAAAATAGTAAACTCGGTGTAGTATTGCATACACACGATAGTATTCTGTCAGCCTTCCTACATTTTAAACGTCATTTACGTACAAACAAACACAAACCGAAATCGAATAACGTTGTAATTGATTAATAAACACCTCGTGTTTTACGCGTGATTTTTCCCGCAATATTTAGGAGGAAAAATCAAACGGCGATAGTTTTCTGTACGCCGAAGCTACGAACTGTTTTATTTGAAATTAAACATGCCAAATTACTTATGTACAATTTTACACGAGGAAAAAAAAAATATATATATATATATATTATAAACGAATTAATGAATATACCGTTAATATTTATTACGTAATTGGCAATTAAGTAGGGTCGGATTATTACGACGGGTTCCAACTTACGTTGCGACGAATTAAAAATTTCGTTGTAAATCAATGAAAGCCGACAATTGTAATTATCAACGGAGTGATCTCATCTTTCCAACTGGAACTACGGAAGACATAACTTCCTCGCTTCGTCGCCCGACACCTAGCGTCGAAAACTGGCAACCACTTCACCGTTTAACACGGGAGTCGGCCATTTTTCTATTTAAACATTTTCTTTATCGATTTTTTTACGTGTTTTTTTTTTGCGGCGTTAATAATTATAATTGCTTATTTTATAACGCGAGCCTTGATTCCACTCGAGTAGTGTTTCTCAATTTTATTAAGACCAAGGACCACTAAGTTATGTAGGGCTAATTTTTTTAATATCTACGTGGGTATTACAAACATCTGGGACATATTGTGCCATTTATAATATAATAATTCTAAAAACATGTTTTGAATATATATGGAAACATAATTAATTAATTTGGAAGTAAACTATTAAAAGTGCAACTCCGTTTAATAGGGTTTTAATTTGTATTAATTTAAGTTTGACTGCCCCGTCATCGCAGCCGTAGGTTTAAAAACGCTGAACTGGAACATTCTTATACGAGTACAGTCGACCCCCCTTATAATTACGATTCCTATAAAACTACGAAAAAATATACGTATTTTGGAAATGTTGAGTCGGATTAGTGTAGAATCGATTAATTTTATGGAAGAAAACCTTTCAATCAGCCGTAGTCCGTAAACTTGAGACGTGTCGGGCTGTGATTGGAACGACTTGTAAGAAATCGGATTCCTAATAAATTGGAACGTATCTATATCTTATAGGGCGGTCGACTGTAATAGAGCGTTCTTATACGAGCCTTGATTACACGCGTTCTGATACAAGTTACTCGTAATTGTAAGGCCAAAAACACGCGTAAAATTCGTCAAAACCGGAAATGTACCAACAACTATCGCTATCTATAGTAATGGCACCAGTGCCGTAACTTGCCATTCCTGTGCCCTGTGCAAGAACTTGCATTTAGGCCCCTTAATTAATTAGGTTTGGAAAAATAATAAAACAAACACGTGCATTTTGGGACACTCTTCCAAATGGGCCCTGTGCGGGTGCACCTGTTGCACCTGCCTAGTTACGGCACTGAATGGCACCTTCGATACACAAAATAGCTTTGTTGGTATCTGTTCTGTTCAGACAACGATAATTTTGGGAAAAATTTAACTAATGTAACTAATCTTTATTTAAGTTTCTACTTTTCTTAGCTTCGATGAGTAGCCAAATTATGTTCCAATTTGGGCAATCTCCGTTTGATAAAGTACCCCCGTGGTGCTCAAACACGAGAATCTATTTGATACACTACTAATTAACGATAGAATTAAGCCTACTTTATGTATATATATATATATATGTGAACTATACTAAATATTTGTGACTTGTTATTCGCAATTTGATCCGCAATCGAAAAGTTTGGGCATCATTAACGTAGACAATTGGATTAAAGTAATCTGCAATATCATCTCGTGCATCGTGGCATGATTGCCTTACATGGAGTCATCTGAATAAAAACAAGCATTACCTTATTCTCGTAAAATTTGAAGGAAATCATTATACTTGTGAACATGAAGAAAATACTTTTGAATGAAGCTTCTGCTTTAGTAATACTTATTTCGTATGAATAAAAGTAAGCATTAGTATGCAAGAAGTATCGTTTCTTCTTGCATTCATCTAGGTTTATTTTCAGTTAACGTTTAACCATGTCTGAAGAAGTTAATCTAAGGAAGGTTATATTATATTCTTCGTTTTTCTTCACAGTCAATGATTACAAGACGGCATTTAAGTTTGAAGAAGAAAGTGCCGAATGGTCGGCACGTAATTTTTTAGGAGTGACGACCGAATCACGTGGTGATGAAGTAACTTCTTTACAAAAAATGAAAATATGTTTGATATTTAGCCGATCCTGGATTGTAAAAAAGGCATAGGAAAAGAACTTGGTATAGAGCATTGTGAGCAACGTTGTGAAGAAAATAATAGCTCAGGATGATCATTGGATAAAATTTCCTACAACAGACCATTTTGTAATGGAAGCAAAACAGCTATGGCAAAATAAATATCGCTTTCCAACTGTGATTAGCGTGATCGACTGCACTCACGTAGGAATAGAAAAACTTAGAATTCGTGATGACTACATTAATCGAAAAGAAAACCCACATTAAATATGAAAGCTACTTATGATGCCAGATGCATTTCTCGTTTAATAAATTGCAAAAATTTGAACATCCACTCTAATTTTAACAAAGGCCAACACGTGTAACGATTAATATAAATTGAATACAATTAACAAAATAGAACACATGAACGAGTTTAAACGTGTCATATGAGAGTCGAGAACCTTTTACTCGTTTACCAAAAGCATTTGCTCGGAAGTATAAGATAATCATTATTCATAACAGAGGAAATGCTTCTGCTTCTACCTTATGCATTATTAGCATTTCCTTCGTTTTTTATTCATGCGGGCCATTAATTAATTAATGCCCGAACTCGTATCTCTGGTTTAACATTGAACCGGCAAAGAACAACACGACATACAAAGTCCCCCCACCTCGAGCAGATCACCCGCGAGTCGAGTTGCCGTATACACACAACAAACAAACACACAAACAGGAAAGAAGTGTGTAAAAGCGAAACTCCGCTTTTGATTGGCTGATGATTCTGACGAAATTCGAAGTGGACCAATCCGGAACATAAGTGGCGGAAGATAATTCATTTCAAATAACAGATTCGTTTCTGATTGGATAATAGACTGTCACGTGATCATTATGAAACATTTCTAAAAAATGTATTGTAGAGATGCCACGATGCTCAATTTTTACTTAATTTAACGTTTAAAAATTAAATTTAATAATAATAAATTTAAAATGACGCCATTTGCCAAAATGTTTTAAAAAATGCAACTTCTGACGTTACTGAAAGGTACGTGACGTCACTTACATTGGATTGACAAAAAATAGCAGAAGTTACGTTTTAGCACGCTTCTAAATAAAAATTATTAATAATAACAACGTAACAATAAAAAAAAAAATAAGTAAATAATACAACGCCTTATGAAGTAGCGCCATCTGTGGAGAAAGAAAGGCAACAGAAAAAAAGCAAGCAAGCATACTGTACTTTGGTTATTATATTAATAATGTTTATTTTCCTATTTATATAAAAATATTGATACGTATGTTATTATAAGAAATACTGAATAATTAATGGGATAGGCTATTTTAAGCGAATTTTCACTTACGCGATAGCCTTGAAAGGTATTGTCGCGCGTATGGCGGGCTCCTACTGCACATAATTTCTATAATTTCCAAAAACAATTCATTATTTTACGCAATTATATCCTCCACATTCTGCTTAAGAGCACATGGCACGCTTATACTATCGGCAGCCATATTGTCGAATAATGAATGCCCTGTGTTTGTTATATGATTGGCTGCTATGTCAGAATAATGCTTTACGCCTCGTAAAAAGTAAAATACTTGTCAAATTAGACGTCATATGGAGAGAGTCACTTCTAAATCGAAAGTGACATCAATCGCGTCGTTACGCCTGTATATTTATCTCACCTTTTATGCCACTGGAAACCGGCCTTTAAGCCGACACCGTGGCCATCCGAAACATTATTTTTAAAACTGCATTTTATAGAACTATTTTATATACAGTAATAGAGAGGTTGCGGCTGAAGTTTTCAAAGCGAAAACGTGAACGTCGAACGTTTAGCGCCGTCTTCCTGTAAGCCTAGAAGTTTGACAATGGCGTTTAGAACGTCAGTAGAATCATGCTCGACGTTTCAAACGCCATTGTCAAACTTCTAGGCTTACAGGAAGGCGGCGCTGAACGTCCGATGTACACGTTTTGGCGTTGAAAACGTCGACCTCAACCTCGCTAATAACTCGCTAAGTCAAACTGTGTTAACACAAAGCTGGGGCACACTACATAAGGTTTAACATAATATGGCCTCGTTAATTCAGTGCTTTTAACTCGAATCTATTGTTTCCGTCTGCCCTTCACCCTTTGATAGGTTCGTGAACTTCATTTTATTTTATATTCCGTGTGAATACAGACGAGTAAGATAAGCAGAGCCGGCCCTACCATAGGGCGAACGGAGCAGCCGCTCCAGGCGCTAACTCCTAGGGGGTGCCTCAGTGGTAAAGAAAATTAAAGGGTATAAATTAGGGGCAACCAAGGGGGCGCCATTATAGGATCTTGCTCCATCCTAAAACTTGCCTCGGGCCGGCACTGAAGATAAGCAAATACTACGATTCCGTAACGAACACAACACCATTATAACCTGGCATCGGCATTATTTTACTGATACAGTACGCAACCAGCGTTATTATTGAGACATAATGACGCCCCCTTGTGAAAGATCCGTAAACTCTACAATTTTGTAATAATTCTACGAACAGATTCCCGATAACGGCTCGATAATGGGAAATTTACCACCAATAATCGGGTATTAAACTGATTAAATCCGTAGTCAGGATTCTTTTATCTCTTAATCTTCGAATTAACGAGATTTTACTGTGTTACTATTTTCTTGTAGATTATTAATTTGAGTTTATCAGTAAACTTATAGATTATATAATCGCGTAAACCTTATCGATGTTTTTTTAAGATTTTGATATGGAAGTAAGTTAAAAGTTTTACTAAAAAATAGTTTTATCAACAGGTTTATTTCGAGTAATAGTGTAAATAAAAGTTATTTTCATGACACTTATCTATTTTAAAAACAAATAATTGACCCGTAAAGCTATTCTATTGGACTTTCGTGATTAACTTGTAGCTGATAAGTTGAATTGTAACCACTCTTAAGATTGCTTGTTTTTTTCTATTTTGATAAAAGATAATTCCAAGAAATCTATGTTTAATAGGCACTTTAATAGTTAATTTATTGAAAATTCACAGAAAAAGCAGCGATGCCATAAAAGCCATGGCATACAATACGATACAGTAGTAGTATCAGCGGCGCCCGCAGACTACAGAAAAAAAAGGTGGTACAGTAGAGCGTCGTTTATCCGAATCAATTGGGGACTGGGGTTGTTCAGATAACTTATTTTTCGGATAACCGATTATCTGCGAAAAAATATAAACCTATCC